GCCTTCAGTCTTTCCCAGCACCAGGGTCTTTTCCAATGAGTCAGCTCTTCACATCAGGTGGCCAAAGTATTGGAGTTTAGGCTTCAACATCAATCCCGTCAATGAATATTCAGGGTTAATTTTCTTTGCAACTGCCTGGTTTGATCTCCATGCTGTCCAAGGGATTCTCAAGAGTCTTCTCCAGCACACAATTCAAAAGCACCAATTCTATAGTACTCAGCCTTCTTTATGGTCCAATTCTCACATCCGTACATGACTACAGGAAAACCATAGCTTTGACTACGAAGACCTTTGTTGGCAAAGTGATGTCTCTGCTTTTTAATATGCTGTCTAGGTTGGTCATACCTTTCCTTCCAAGGAGCAAGCGTCTTTTAATTTCATGATTGCAGTCACCATCTGCAGTGATTTTGGAGCCCAAGAAAAGAAAGTCTATCACTATTTCCATTGTTTCCCTGTCCATCTGCCATAAAGTGATGGGACTGATGCCATGATCTGCCACTACTTCTACATTTTCCCCTTCTATTTGCCATGAAGTGATAAAAGCTATGTTTATACTATAATCTACTATGTATGCAATAACATTATGTGTAAAAAACAATGCACATACCATAATTTTAAAACACTTAATTGCTAAAAAAAAAAAAAAAAGTTAAACATCATCTGATAATGCAGGTTGCCACAAACCTTCAAAATTAACCAGCCAAACACAATAAACGGAGGAATGCCTGTATTGGTTGAAACGCTGAATTCTCACAACAACCTGAACAATAATGACTTTGTTTATTTTGCTAAGTATCCCCAGCAATACTATGTTTCTAAGTTCAAGGGTCACTACTCTGTCTCCAACCTCCTCCGCCTCTCAGAATGCTTCCACAGTTGACCACAGAGGTTCAGTGACATAACCCTTCTTGAAACACGTTCTCTTAAACTAATTTTACCACCTGAGAGTACTCTTATGCTTGGGCGCTCTTATACTGGGCAACTGCTGGACTCCCTTCTTACCGCTGTCTGCACATACTACTCTACCGCACCAGTTCCCATGAGTTTAATGCCATCCAGATCAGCGGTTTTCAGAATGTGGGCCCTGAGTCAGAAGTATTAACATTACCTAGAAACGTAAATTTTGGGTGCTCCCAGGTGTGAGGAATTAGAAACTGGGGGTAGGGAATTAGTGGCTGAACAACTCCCAACAGGTGCTTCTAATGCAAGCCAAAGTTTGAAAAACACAGATCCAGATGTGTGCTTTTTATTCTCCAGGCTGTGACTCATTAGTTGATCAAGAAATAAACTGAGATGCAAACAGCATTTTAAAAACTGAAATAGAACCATATAGAGGGAATTCCCTGGTGGTCCAATGGTTAGAATTCAGCCCTTCCATGCTGTGGGCCCGTTTCAGTCCCTGGTCAGGGAACTAAGGCTCTGCAAAGATGCAGCAGGGCCAAAGACAAAAAGAAGTAGTACAGAAAAAAGTTCTTCATACGTTATAAATGTAGGCAGTATTTCATGAAACTCTTATTTCAATTACATATGCATATTAGCGTGTGTACATATGTGTACATGCACATCTATATTTGGTTGTCAAATGTGTTACTGAGAATCACAGTCTTGAAAAAAAAATTGATCAATATGATGACTAAAAAGCCAGCTCTTTGGTCCTTTTTTGCCATTTAGGTCTTATCTTGCTCAGACTTCCCATTTCACTTAATTTTGCTTCCTCCAAGGGATTTATTCTCAAACTACCTTGTTTATTTGGTGTTTATAGTACTTATAACATTTAAACTATTTTATTGTTTATAAGCTTTTTGCCTCTCTAGAATATGAGCCAGGAAAAGTAGAAATCTTGTTCCCTGCTGTGTTGCTGACACCTAAGACAGTGTCCGCCCACCTAAAACACCCACTCTGTAAGTATCTCTTGACTGGATAAACTTTAAAAATGAATAACTTACCAAAGGTGACTTAAGTTAGATTAAACTACACTCTAGAATCATGCGTACCTCATGACAGTGATCTTTCTAATATAATCATCACTTCCTAGTAGGCCTAAGGCATGGATTCCAGTTGTCCACTTCCTAGTCCTGGACCATTGGAAAGTTATATAATCATATTCACCATTGTAAAAAGAAATGCTTAGTGTGGGGACAATAAGAATCTGATAAAACAGTGAACTAATTTACTTTTAACTTTTGGACAGATGAGCAGAGCATTCATTTAATAAGAGTTAAGGAACAAATAAAAACTCACAGGATCCATATCAAGAAGAAATACAGGAAAGCTAGAGGCTTTAAGTTCACCTACATTTTAAATGTGAACTATCTCATGACTCTATACAGTTCAAACCCTTCTGCAGAAGATTAAAAGCAAATCCAATGGGAAGGAAAATGTACACTGAGAAGGAAAAAACTGGGGAGCAAAATGAATGGAAAATAATATTCACAGCTGGAGAAACTTGTGAAATTCAAATTTGCTGGAGAATCTGCAAAATGTCATAGTTAAAGATGACTTTGTTATTAGAAGTCTATATCTGCATTCAGTGTCTGGAGTAGGAAATGGCAACTTACTCCAGTATTCTTGCCTGGAAAATTCCATGGATAGAAGAGCCCGGCAGGCTACAGTCCATGGGGTCACAAAGAGTCAGACACAACTGAGCAACTGAACACACACGCACACATAGTGAATACCACTTTGACACCATTAGACAGAGCAGTCCCAAGACCACGTGTACCTGTGTGTTCACAGCACACACTCACAGCGTTAGTGGGGTTCAGGAGGGGCAGTGATTTACACTGAATGCATGCTCAGTCGCCAACATTCCCAATCCAGGGATCAAACCTGCATCTCCTGTCTCCTGCATTGGCAGGCAGATTCTTTACCACTGGTGGTCTGGTGGTTTAGTCACTAAGTCATGTCCAACTCTTGCGACCCCATGGACTGCAGCCCGCCAGGCTCCTCTGTCCAAGGGATTTTCCAGGCAAGGATACTGGAGTGGATTGCCATTTCCTTCTCCAGGGGATCTTCCTGACCCAGGAATCAAAATGAGGAATCGAACCCAGGTCTCCTGCATTGCAGGCAGATTTTTTACTGACTGAGCTACGAGGGAAGCCCACTGGGCCACCCCAAATCATGCTATTCCTATTTCTGGGATATTAACATTTTAATTAATGGGAAGAATAGAAGATAGACAGTACCAGCTTTGGAGGCAGAGTGCCTGGGTTTAAATTCCATTTCAACTATTTATTAGCTGTGTACTTTTGACATATTTCTTAATTTTTCTGAGCCTGTTTCTTTATTTGTATATTTAGAGACCTCACAAAATTATTATGTTGACTGAGTTAATAATACATATGAAGACCTGACACATGGTAAAGCAGAGTATTTACTAGGTATCATAATCCTTATACTAAATTCTTTAAATGTTTTCTCCTCTAATGCTCACAGCAATACTATGAGACAGGTTATTATAAGATATCCCCTCTCCTCCATATACATGAGAAAGTGTCAGCCATGAAAAGGTTAAGAAGCTTGTCCATGAATTCAAAACTAAGTGAATAGGGTTAGAATGTAATCTTAGTCATATGCTTAAACCAGGTTTCCTAACAACCATGCAAATATGGGCCTTCTAGTAACCCAGAAATGATGAATAATCAACAAGCTACCTCGACTCTGCTGCAGCTTCCATAATAACTATTATCAAAACAAAGGGTTACATTACACAAGTGTACATATACATCAATAGTATCCATTATGTGCTGTGCTTTCAAAGAGGTTGAAAACCAAGGCACTGCAGTACTTTTGTTAAATTTTGTTTCCATGCCTTTGTATCCTCCATTCCAGGTGGGTTACCCCACTGAGATAAAAAGCAGCAAAGTTTCATTTATCTCACAGCAGACTCACTTAGCACTATTAGTGAAAAACAGTTGGTCTTCAACAAAGATTGTCAAATAAATGAAAATGCATGAGAAAGTGTTCTATAAAATCACGAAGTACAAAGCAAGTTTTTATAAAGTCAACTTAATTGTTTCTTTTATTTATGTTTATATTTTATTTATATATTTAGAAAATTATAAAGTTATAGTGAACTTTATAATACTTTTTGAAGATTCACAATATAAAAGGCTAACAGCCTTATCACCGTATTTTAATCTTCATCACAACCCCTATAAAATAGGTACCATTATTTTCATAGAAGAAGGAATGCTTAAGGTCACACACTATGAAGTACTAGAGACCAAATTTTAACTCTTTCAATTTCTGTATCAAACTCCTTTTCTATATAAGGAAAAATATTATTTTAAAGTATATAAATTTCAAAAACCATTAAAGCCAACGATGTAAATGCATAACCCTGTAGGTTTTAGTATAGTCACAAATTGTGCAACCATCATCACAATCTAATTTTAGAGCATTTTCATCACTCCAAAATAAATTCTGTATACAACAGCAATGAGATCTAACTACATACAGTTTACATGAATAAAAGGAATGTAAATTCTTTTAAATAAAGCCTCCTTTAAATATGTGTGAAAGTATATTTAATGCACCTAATGCAAAAGAACATCATGAAATGACAACTAAAGGAGAAAATTATGAGTTGGTGGGCCTTCTATAATTTTGCATTGTCAATATCACCATTTGTCTGGGCACAGCAAGTAACCAAGGACTAACATCTACATTCAACTCTGATTACTGTTGGTCAAACTCCAATTTCAAGGACTTCTTAGCATTTCTATATTCACAACCAAATAGTAAGACTAGGATGGACTGTAGATAAAAGTTTACCACCCAGTTGCCTTTGATATTCACTCCGTTATATTAATGTCAGAGGCAAAAGCTTAGGAAAATAAAGTCACAAAAGTTAGGAGATCTGAATTTTCTCTTTCAGCAAGATATGTTCATATACATTTTCTAAGAACCCACACCACTGTATTTGATAATTTACAACAATCATTAAAGTCTAATTTAATAAGTTCTGCATCTATCCCAAACAATGAAAAGGAACTCACTGTTGGTAAATGCACATTCTTCTTCAGATTCACCACTGTCATCAGACAGAGCTCTATAAGGAGGTGGCAGTTTCATTGGTGGTGGAGCAGTTCCTCGCCTCTGAAGATGCAAAATTTGAGAGAAGAGTTAACTGCCTTTGTTCAACCTCTTCCTCAATGACAAACAGGATTAAAAGATAATCTGTAAATATTTTGACTATATCCAACTTTCATCATATCACTAGGATTATAATTTTTTTATTCTCTATGTTATTATGTAAAGTGACTCTGTGATATAAATACACCAATACAGAAAACCGAAGTTCAAAAGCACAACTTTTAAAACTGTTGACCTTCCCAGAAGCATGCATTCCTTTCTCCAGTGAGAAAACCAATTACATGTATCTTCTTTATACTGTTGAGAGTTAGTCTTCTTTGTTTCTGACCAAATAACTCAAATGAAAGACATTTCAAAAATGTCTTAGATATAAAAATGACCCAATGTGTTAATCTTATGATTATTTCAACTTTTTATTCAATTATAAAAGGTACAGATTTCATTCTTTATAAAGTACTTGAAATACCAAGATTTTCTAACTGAAGAGGTATTCACCTATAATTTGTAAATAGTTAACACACATTTCAATGTTTTAAAAAGAGAGAGAATGCTTTACGATGAATACCTTTTGTATTTCTGTATACATAGTATTTAAATTTACACACCAAATGATACAGTACATCAATATTTGGTTTAAAGAGACTTAATTAAAGTAGACTTTATGATCATATTACCTTTATACAATGCAGACCTTTTCTTAAATGCTGGGAAAAATAAAACATACCAAACTACGGAGAGATCCAAGCTGCTGGAAAGAATAAGAGCTGATATACCCAAGCTCCCCACAGATGCCAAAATAACTGAATTAAGATTTGTTTTGCTACAGGATTTCAATAAAGCACAATCAATTATGCTTTATAGGACAAAGCCACTAATGGCAGGATACACTTCAGTAAATGGACAATGACTGGTCCATTACAGAAAGCAGACATGTAATAAATTCCTCCAAAATAGAAAACACTATTTGGCATCCAGAAGAAAAAACACACACTCAAATTTATTCAGGATAGAATCTAATCAAAGGTCATTCTAAGTGAAAGACAAAGCTAAGGACAAGGAGAGCTAGCTTTTAAAATAGTAGTAAAAGATATGAATTCTCTTTAATAGCACTTTAAAAAGTATATTTAAGGGACAATTGTTTATATGACCTATTTATTTAACTTCTACCAACACACTCACAAAGAATGTAGGATAAGCATATTCTGGGCTCCCTATGGTATGAATGTGGGTTGCCAGATGTCCAGGCATCTTTCTACCACATATGGGAGAAGAGTGTAGGCAGGTCCAGGCTCTCACTGTGGCAACGAAGGCTGGAGCAAGGTATGCAAGGGAGGGCCAGAACTTCTGTGAGGGTAGAGAAAAACACAGACTACAGGACATCCTCAGCTCTGAAAACAGTGTCCTTAACTGTTTGCTGAATGAGTAAATAACTGGTTGTCATTCATGTTGTTTCAGTTCTCTGACATATTAACATTTAGAAAAAAGACAATAACACAAAACATCTTGTTCAAGAGCATTGCATATTAAGGACTTCGCTGATGGTCCAAGGTTAAGAATCTACCTTGTGATGCAGGGAACATGGGTTCGATCTGTGGTCCAAGAACTAAGATCCTACATGCCGTGGGAAAACTAGGCCTGCACGCCACAACTGCTGGGTGCACACAACAGCTACTGCAACCCTTACCCTAGAGCTCATGCTCCACAACAGGAGAAGCCACCACAATGAGAAGGCAATGCACCGCCACCAGAGAGTAACCCCCTTTTGCCTCAACTAGGAAAATCCCATGTGCAGCAACCAAGAGCTCATGAATTGCAACAAAGACCCAGTGTGGCCAAAAAAATAAATAAATAAATAAAATTTTTAAAAAGAGCATTTAGATTTCTTATAGAAATGTAGTTATTTTAACAAATTATTACAGTTGTGTTGCCTTATAAGACATTAACAAGTTTAGTGTCTAAATTTGAATCTTATTTAAATGTTTTTTTCAGCAAACATAAATACTCTCTCCAATTCTCTCTGAACCAGGATAACCACCTTTTTGGTTCCCATGTTAGTGATTTTAATAAACATCTGACACTGTTACATTCTGCATAATTTCAAAGGTCAAGTTTCTTTTCTTTAATTTTATTAGTCAGTCTTGGAGGCCCCACTGAGATGTTCAAGTATACTCATCTTCCAGAACCAATGAACTGTGATGCCTGAGATACACAATCCCATAAACTGTTTAAGCCCATACACATGATTTCCTGGTTCCAATGGTAAATCCCCAGTGGCAAAAGAACTTTGTCTTTTTAACTGTTTTTCCATTTTTTAATTTTCAGTTCTATTTTGTTGTTGTTGTTGTTTCTAGTATTAAGCTAAGTTTGGTTCTAATTTGTACTTCAGCCGTAAATAATTCACCATTAGTAGAAGTAATCGGTGGAATCTGGTTTTATGATCTGGCAATTTAGTGATATTTGTTGGAATGATGAGGATCTATTACATATTGGTTATTTGGGCATCTACCCTCTCTTGATTGAGAGAAAACAGCAAACATGTTTATTAGCTTGTTTGCCTGATCGTGTTTTTGTACAAGAACATGTCTTGATTCCAATGTAAAGAACAGCTTTTTGCCACACAGACCAGTGTTTTTGCATTTTTGTGTCTACATCACACACATGGCTAAAGTTGCAGGACAAAAGCTGAAAGTCCTCTGTATATCTGAAATGGAGAAAGACTCTTACCTCACTGTGAGCATGAAATATTCTCCTAGCTTTAGGGGTATTAAAAACTCAGTCTTTTAAAGTCTCTCTTTCTGATTGGTTAGAGACTAAGAAGCATTTGTGTCAGTCTTTTAAGAAATCCCTTTTTACAGAAACAAATAACTCAGAAGCACTTTTATATGCGAATCTAGATTCACAAAGTCAAAAAGATTTGGTAATTTTAATTAGAAACACTTATACCTTCTCTCTGATCTCCTTGATCTCATTGGTGTGGAATACAAAACAAAAATATATAAGATAGTAAAAACATTGATACTAATGTTGCATGATATCCACAGGTCCACATGCTGTGCATGTGTGTATCACAATTGGTTACACATTAGTCTGAGAATTATCAGCCAGTTCTAAAGATTAGCACAATGTAGAGTATCATGCTGTTTTATTTGTTGCTGTTAAGAATAATCAGAGAGCACGCATCCTATAATACTCTAAGTGTCATCAAGAGGGTCACAAGAGATCATTCTGATCTTTGCAAATGCCTTCATGAGGTTCCTCTTAGTTCCAGAGTCTGACAAATCCAGATTTTTCACTTTTAACAGCAACCTTATTGAAGTATATTTCACATATAATATACTTATTTGGGATAGATATATTTTTATAAGGTTAATGTAACCATACTTATAAGGATTACTATGTTTAGTGGGAAACAGCATTTTCATTTGGGTAATACACGAAAAGAAAATGAAGATAACTAACTACAGAGGACTACTCTATTAATGAAATCTCCCAGTTGTGAAGAGTGTCCGCAATTTCCTTGAAAGAAAGAAAATATATGAAATAATACTGAAGAAAATTTAGAAAGAAAATACCAAAGAGTTATGAACCTACAGCCGATAATAGCATTTCTATGAACTCTGATGTTTCACATTCTATATGATATAAGAAGTCAGAAAATATTGAACTGAAATAAAACAAAATAAGAAAAAACTAGAGATTTATTCAAGACCTGCTTGTTGATTTTTTTTTTTTTAGTTTTTCAGTCACTTTCTTCCCCTATATTTTTAATGTGAATAATTTCAAGCCAAAATTTTTATTTCTAACCTACACCTCTACTAATAAGAGTTTCAAGTGATTTTTATTGTCTCCTTTCTGACTGTCAGCAATTCTAGAGAACATGACTGCTTTTGTATTAAGGAGAAAAAAATGCCTAAAAGGAATTCTTTCTATCAATAATAACTGTTAAAGAGATAGTTAAGTCATCATATGACTTCCCATCTTTGGGAAAGTCTCCCCTAGTACTCTGGGCATATTTCTATCATACCAATTACACTTCTAGTTATTTCACTACATATCACATTCATATATGCACTTCTTGGAGTGAAGGTGATTTGTCATTCCAGGGTGTAGAATAATGCTTTGTACATAAGCTATAATTACAGAGAAGAGTAGTATAGTAAAGGACATCCTGTAACCACTGAAACATCATCCTGTAATGGAGATGTATATTCTCATATGATCAATTGACTCACAAGTAGGAGTGCTCTGGGGCAATAATATATTGTTGTGCTGTGCTCAGTCATGTCTGACTCTTTGCGACCCCCATAGACTGTAGCCCACCAGGCTCCTCTGTCCATTGGGGGCAATAATCACCTCTGAATTTTCCAAAGATTCACTAACATGGCTAACTATCATCTTCCCATAAGGCCCAGAACACTGCCTGGTACCTAACAGACACACAATACATATTTATTGAATAAATAAACTAAAAACAAAACAAACATCTCTGGCTTTAGGTCACTAGGTATTGGCAAATGCTGTCAGGACAAAAATCATTTTCCTGTGTTCCACTTAACCTTCTGATTTGGGGTTTATGGTTGCAATGTTTAACTACTGCCATGTTAACTTAGTGATGACTTCTTCTCCATGCTAAGGACTTCAGCAGGGTAGACTTATTACACATTGACTTTTGGTTTTACTAGGCTCTTACTGGATTTTTAAAAAAATTTGAATGCAAATATCCTTGCTATATATTGAAATTCAATTTGATTTAATGCACCAAAGTTGATAAGTATCATACATTTATCTTTTTACTTCATGAAATGTCATGTGGAATTTTCCTTAGTCAATTAATTCCTTAGTCAACCTGTTCCCCAAATTCCCCAATTCCTTAGTCAACCTGTTCCCCAAAGTATTTAAATCAGTAACCACTTTATATTCATCTGTGTGTTTATTGTCCATGTCTCCACAGCCTGTTGTCTGTTTCCTTTCTGATGTTATATCCACCAACTATAGCACAGTGACTGTAAACACTATAGGTTTCCAATAAACATTTGATTAATGTTCAGATATTTGAAACAACGTATGAATCAACACAATTCCAGCAATAAGACTAAATATTCTGAGAAGCCCTTCTTTAAAAATGTACACACACACACACCACACACACACATATACATATATATAAATCACAGATAAAAATTCAAAACTATGTTTTTGTAACTGAGGCCAAAAACAACCATAAATTCCAAATCAGAAGGTAAATCCCCAGAGGGCATGTGCCAATCCCTAGTGACCTAAAACCAGAGATTTAGTTTTGTTCTGTTTTTAGGATTCTTTATTCAAGCAATAAATATGCATTGTATGCCTAATAGGTGGCTGGCAGCATTCTGGGCAATGCAGAAAAAGAGCAATTATGAGATAGATCATCTCCCTTCTTTGAGCCTACTTAGTAAGGCCACATATCAATGAAAGGGTCAATTATATCCCTATGAGGATATTAAATTTTTTAATTTAACCTAATAAATTATCTTGAAAAATATAAAATAAAAACTGAAAAACTACATGAAAAGTAGATTAATTTAACCATCAAAATGGAAGATGAGTTACTCTGATCAAAAAAATCAGTTAAGTATATAGAATGCCTGAATAACCCAGTTAGTTAGTTTGCCCTAGTAACTCTGTATAAAAGTCTGTAACTAGATAATAGCTATTCTTTTAAATCACAAATATACATTTATAATACCTATGTGCTAAGCCATAAAAAAAAGTCTCAACCAATGTGCAAGGTACAAGATATTATATAAAATACAATTTGTGGTTATAACTGAAATAGGTTTGAAAATAACAACAATAAGTTTTTTTAAATATTTGTATGGAAATTAAAAATACATTTTTAATAAAAATAAATCATTTGGAAGCTAAAAAAAGAAACAATACTAAACAATAGAAATTCAACTTAATATCTTGGGATTTAGAAAAAGATGATAATGGCTGATAATGGCTTCACGACATCTTACACCTGTACTTCACTAGGTCTTCATCCAGGCCAGAATTAGATACGTTCACAGGAGGGAGATATAGTTATAAAACTACCGTGAAGTGAACTTAAAGTTGTTCAGTCGTGTCTGACTCTTTGCAAACCTATGGCCTGCAGCCCACCAGGCTCCTGTGTCCATGGAATTCTCCAGGCAACAACATTGGTGTGGGTTGCCACCCCCTTCTCCAGGGGATCTTTCCAACCCAGGGACCGAACCTGGGTCTCCTGCAGGCAGATTCTTTACATTTGAGCCACCAGGAGAGTCCTAAACCTACCATACTTCTACTCAGATACTCATCCAAAAAACCACTTATTAATTGCAGCTCAGATATGCAAAAAGATACCAAAAACATTTTTTAAAGTTTAAGAGATTAGGTTACCTTTTCTTTTTTGTCTTGGGTGTCTTGGTCCTGGTTATTAGTGATTTTCTTGGCCTTGTTATGCACAGTAGGTATGACCTGCCACCACAAGGATGAGGAAGAGAGAGAAAGAAAGAATTTAAATGTCACAACCATTACATTGCTCCATGCATATTTTTTTTTAAATAGTTAAAAATCCTACTTAACTATATCTCTAACTTCCCTAAAAAGTAAAGATATGAGAAGTATAGCTAAGGCAAACAACACAACTTGGGAAATCTAACAAGTTATATAACCCAAACGTGCATGCCTGCATGTATGTGCGCTTGTGTGCTGCATCAAGGGACAATAAATTCACAGGCTTGTTTAGATCCAGAAAGTTAGTTCCTATAATGCTGGATGTAACATTTATTTCATTAATCTACCTTATTCATCAGTGTACTCCAGCTCAAGTTTTGGGGTTTTTTTTTAAGGTTATTATACATGTTTATTCCAGTCACCAAGGGCAGCTAACACTGAACTGGTATCACTTTGGCCCACTTATTTGAGGCTTTGATTTTACTTTTCTTAATGTAAAAAATGGATGCCTCTGTAAATATTACTTTTTTTTTTTACTCAATGAACTGTAAATCCTGTCCCCTGGAATGATTATGATATGTTTCTTTCCATGGATAAATAACATTTCTTGCTGTCAGTCATTCTTTTCATGGGATTTTACATACTTCATTTCCAATCTTCTCTCCTACAAACAGTGTTGCAGTAATCATTCTTATGTAATATCTTCATACAGTTTGAGTATGGTATCTAGCGCACTGTGTACATTCAATAAATATTTAGTCATCACTGTTAGCATATAGATAAATTATACAAAGCTATTTATACCCCTGGATAATTAGCCCAATTAGAGCTGGAATTTAGGGTTATTTATCACTATAACCCTGATGCTCAGAAAAAGTACTACATAGTAGTGTTCAATAAATGCTTATAAATGAATCAAACAGTTCAATTTCATAGAAATGATTTTAATTCTTAATGGTGCCAACAGCACAGATTACTTTTTGACTCATTTCTTTTTGTAAAACTACCTGTAAAGTATCTTAAGAAAATACAAAATTGTTAGTGATTATTTTAAAGGCTCCTCAAATAGCTAACAAAAGTAATTGGCATAAAATCTGATGACAGACATGCAGATTAAAAGGAAAAATAAATCTCCTTACTCAGAAAATTAAAGTAACTGACTCCCTAGTGATAATTTAAAAAACAAAACTAAAAAAAAGCACTTTTCTCAGAAAGGCAATTTACGATTAATTCTTCTCTACTTTTAGAGTCAAAGGAATAAATTAATTTTGGAATCAGTAAGACCACCTCAGAAATGTTTCTCTTAAGTAGAAAGCAATAGTAGTGATAAATCAATATATATATCTGTGGCTTCTTATGTGAATAGACACTGTGCTTAATATTTATTTCTCTATTTAACACATAGGACAACCTGAGTCAGAGTTCAAAAACCAGTGGATCTACAGGTATATGTTTCTAATTCTGAAGAATTTAAAACACTTTGTCTTTGGACCTACTTTCTCCCATGGAAAAACCAGCTAAAGTTAACTGGCAGAAGCTTCGAAATGGGATAAAAGTTAGCTGCCATTCATAAGGTTTACACTATTTGTTTGTCAAATAGCAGAGAAATATTCTCTACACATATCATTACATTAGCAAACTTTGGAAGACAAATGGCCCACCAAAAAAGACCACATCTTTATGAAATGTAGGAGAGCACATGTTTCTTATGAAAGTAAAAAATATATTTCTATATGACTAATACACAAAATGAACATGTCCAAAAAAATTTAGATGCCATTATGAAACAAAGATATTAGGGAAATACAAATGGAAGACAGGAAAAAAGAAAACAACACATGATAATAAATTTAGTGACCTGAAAGGATGATACCAATTTTAAAAGGGTTTGGTTTTGGATATATACAGAAAACCTTAATGCCACTGTGAAATGCAATTATAAGTAGAAAAACTTACTTTGGCATAAAAACTTTCTATAGAGGTGTACAGTATAGATCATGAATTCTGCTCTCAAATAAGCCTATACCAAGTAAATCTAAGTGGATTACACATCTCTTTCTAACATGCTAAAAATGTAGTTGAGAAATTTAGGAGAAAAAGCTTAAAAAGGTAATGTGTTGCCAATCCTCCTAAAGCACCTATTAAAAGCACAAATATTAAAAAAAATTAAAACTTAAAAAAAAAGTGCAAACATAAACACCACCACTCAATCCATCATGTTGATGAGAATTTTCATGAAGGTTTCACTGATGGCTCAGATGGTAAAGAAATCACCTGTAATGCAGCAGACCCAGGTTCAATCTCTGGGCTGGGAAGATCCCCTGGAGAAGGGAAAGGATACCCACTCCAGTATCTTGGCCTGGAGAATTCCATGGAGGGAGGAGCCTGGCAAACTACAATCTATGAGGTCTCAAAGTCACAGCTGAGCAACTAACACTCTCTTTTTCAAGGCACATTTAGACATAGGACCTTGATGACCAAACATTAAGAAATGACTTCCTTGGGAGTTTTCAAGAACGTTCCAAAGTTTAATTAAACTGATCAAAAATGATTAAGAATTTGGCTATATTTTCTTTTCTGTGATGACCAATAATTGTAAGAATAAGTAAGCTGAAGATACAATGACATGAAGCTTGATTCCTTTTATTGCCTTATTCAGGTGGAATCAACTTTGTGCTGAAAGAATGGAACAAGGAATGGACATTAATATCATCACCATTCTTTGCCTAGAACCACAGACAGTTCAGTGTTCAAAGAACATGACACTCTGTGATGCTACCTGAGGGATAAGTGACTTGGGCATGTAATAAAGCTGAAGACATTTTTTTTTTTTGAGCAGTTGAAAGATATTATACTGGTCACTCAAATGAAAACTTCCACCACAGCTCACCAACAAAGACTAGATTAAAAACTTGGCCTTTATGGTTGAACTTATAACCTAATAAAATGTTTTGAATATTTTTTGGCGAAGCATTCACAAGTGGTCGTATAAATGTATAATTTGATTGGCTCATTCTAGCTCAGAACTGTTTCTCTGGAAGTGTCACTTGGCAGGGAAATCTGGCCAATATTCTTATTAAATTCAGTCTCCAGAAATAAAAGTGATGGCCTCAACAACTTTCTCAATATCATAAGAGTTTAAGGGTGGATTCCAGTAAATCTAGAATTTCAAACTGCATTAAAAAATGTGAAGACTTTATTCTGCTTCCCTCTCTCAATTAGTCTTGATGGTATAAATGTAGCATTAAGTCTGGAAGGGACCTTGCTGCAAGTACAGTGCACAGTAGAGCTGACCATATGGGGTGAGGCTGCAGCCCACTGGGTATGGGCAGGCTATAAGCATGCAAAAAATACACTTGATGCCCCCCACCCCTGGGACAGCCAGACATCTGTTTACCCAATTTGTTAAACAAATATTATTTTCTGTATGCCTTGATATAAAAAAAGGTTGAAATGCACTGCATTTTAGTGGACTAAAAAGCATATTTTTAAAAACTATGCAGAGTTTTTCTACTGTTCAGAAATGCTTATGTTTTGAACAGCTGTCTTCCATTATAAAATATAGAAAAATAAATATTGCTTTCAGTTACAGGACTTACTGGTGACATTTCTGCCTCATACTGCAATATAAAATACACATCCTGTCACTGACATCTGTGTATCAGAGTTCTAATTCCATACCAAATGGATAGTTTATTACCGGAAAAAACTCTATGATGAAATACTGTTCTTTGTAAATTCAGAATCTCCAACAGAACATACAGTGCAACATGTTTGAATTTTTACAAGCTATAATAGATACACAGACCATGTGATAGTCCCTCTAGAACGTTTTTATAACTGACCTACTCTGTCTTGGAAGTGTTTTATACAAAGTAACTAGTTCAGAAGCGTTAAGTAACTCGCCTCCAAATAAGCAAAACTGGTAAATAGGGAATCAAGGAATCAAAAATAGGTCTGTTGGACTTCACTGTATACTCAAATAACTCAAATTTGACTAGGAGATTGAAACCAGAGAAAAAAGGGAAAACTGAAGCTAATAATTAAATTTTTACAAAGCTAACTTCCTTTAAGTAATAGTAGAATAACAGTAAAAAACATGTTGGAAAATATTAACACTTGGAAGCAAAAGCTTGAACCACAGATCTAGAGACTATTTTTAAACTTTTTGAATATGTAAACTAAAGCTTACTCTTGGAGTCGATGACAAGCTCTGAACTACGAACACCACAGGGTTTCCTGCATTCTTAATGGCCTCAACTGCTTCTCTGTGCGAAGCATTCTGCAAATCTACTCCAGACACCTAAAAACACAGAAGTAATTTATTTCAGTTAGCAAAGGAGCAGATCTTGTGGATAAGTTAATTCAAGTGCATGCATATTATCTAGTTATGAGAACAGCCAGAGTTGAATGAATTAGACAACAGCTAGAAAAAAATATGACTGGCACATAAAAAGCTTTGCTGTCTTAGGAGACCATGTTTAAGAAAATTAACATCTTACCTTCCAGAAAAGTAACTAAGAAAAATATCTTAATAATAATGGCTGAGGTTAAAAATAATTATGCAAAAATAGATAGCTTAAGCAATAACAGAACCTTAAGAAGCTTCTGAGCTTATAATGTTAACTCTGCCACTATCAGAGGACACAATTCTGAATGGGGGTAGGGGCTGGGGAATCTCTTTGGACTCATCTTCCCCCAATTAAACTAAGAAGAAAGGTGTTTTAAGCAAATTGCCCATTATCAAATTGAGTAGTTGAACATTTCTCAAATTACGTTCAAAAAAGAAATATGAAAACACCCATGGGTTCTTTTACTAAAAGAGTTTTGCATTCAACAAATTTGGGTAAAGTATAAACATCTCATTATACAAATCTGAGAAAGCATAACTTGTGAACATGCCCATAGTCTCAAAGAACATTCTATTTATCAAGTGTACTTATTTAACAGAACAAATTCTTCAAACTCATAATGTAAGGAAGCCTTTGTAAAAGTTTAGGTGGTTCACAGTCAGAGGATAATGACAATTTGTAAATGTTGTTTTGCCACAAGGGGATCATAGAAATAGGAATGTAGATGCAGTGGAATCAAGGTTGGTTTTTGGTTTTTTTTTTTTTAAGGTGAGATATACTACAATAATGATGATGCAGAGGAGAGGAAAAACGAAGGTAAAGAAGAGTGATGACTGCAGAAGCAAACCCTTGGAGAGTGAAGATGGAATGACTTCTGCACAAGTTAGACAGACTCTAGATAGAAGAAACACAAATAGTTCATTTGTTGCAACAAGCACAGGTGGAAAAAAGGATGTAGAAGGAGCAAGGGGAACGTCCCTTCCGAGGACTGCTCTTTTCTCAATGACATAAGAAAGAAGTACCGTCAGCTGACATTAAGACTAAGGAAGGAAGCACAGGAGGTCTGAAGCAACTACCTAGAAGAAGCAAACAACTTGTTAAATACAGGACAGCAGGACAGAATTAAAGACCCACTTGAGGGAGCTGTCATGAATTTAAAATGAGACCAGACAGTATGCATGGGGTTTTTTGTTTGTTTCTCGGCTTTTTTTTTTTTTTTTGCTATTTTACAACTTTTAATTCCAAAGGCTTCCGAGTGTCACAATTTCCTGTTTGTTGGTATAACTTTGTTGGTCCAAGTCAAGGAAGAGATCACAAAATAAGCAAACAATTGCATTTAACTAGGATGTGGTTGTCCCAGAAAAGTTCAATGAAAGGAAAGATCAAAGGAGTTGGAAGCACATGCACAGGAGTGATAGGATGATGTCACTGCATCTGAGCAGAGTGAGGAAGAACATGAGCATGCCAGAAGCAGGGGGACAGAGCAGCGACAGCATGAAGGTAGGAGATGGGAGCCCTGCGTGTGAGTGATTTAAGCGGAGGTGAGTCTAAAAACAGAGAAAGAGGAGAGACCACAAAGAGCTGATGTCAGGGAGGCAGCTGAAGCCACACCATGTAAAATCCAGAAGGCCATGTCAAGGACTCTGGCTTTTTATTCTAGTAGGCGTCCATGAAGATTTTAATGCTGTGAAAAGCTCTTTTCCCATCTGAATTGAGGAAGAATATGAATAATAATAAGTGAAGAAAATAGAAAAATTTTACAGTGACAATTAAAAGCTGTCACTACAGTTTGATGAAGATTCTTTTGAAAAACCTGATCCCTGAAACATTCAACAGTAAGAAAAGTAGAGGCTACATGAGAACTACATCCTCTTCAGTAATAATCAGCTTTTTTCCCCTGACAGAGATTATACAGTGTTAAATGGGAATCACTAAAGCTGAGAAGTGAGGAAAAAGTTATAATTCTGTCATATTACAACAGAAAAATAATCTTAGTCTTTCTCAACTTTAAAATTATAACCTAAAAAAATGTCCATTCACATAGATGAAGACCCATTTAATTTAAAGTTCTCAGACCAATACAGTATACTAACACATACATATGGAATTTAGAAAGATGGTAATGATAACCCTATATGCAAAACAGAAAAAGAGACACAGATGTACAGAACAGACTTTTGGACTCTGTGGGAGAAGGCGAGGGTGGGATGTTTTGAGAGAACAGCATCGAAACATGTATATTATCTAGGGTGAAACAGATCACCAGCCCAGGTTGGATGCATGAGACAAGTGCTCGGGGCTGGTGCACTGGGAAGACCCAGAGGGATGGGGTGTGGAAGGAGGTAGGAGGGGGGATCAGGATGGGGAATACATGTAAATTCATGGTTGATTCATGTCAATGTATGGCAAAAACCACTACAATATTGTAAAGTAATTAGCCTCCAACTAATAAAAAATAAATGGAAAAAAAATAAAGAAAGAAAGAAAGAAAAAAATAAAAGTCTGTTTTGTAAAAAAAAATAATAATAATTTAAACGTTCTCGTTTAAAAAGCTCTTTATACGGACCTAAACCTTTTGTGCAATTATTTCAAGACAGAAATGAGTATTAAATTTCACTAACAAAACAACTAGTGCTTTTCATAGAAAAAGTAAACAAATGATTCATTATGCTTCACAGACTATATATTAGAGTGTAACATTTCAGGTCTGCTGTGAATCTGAAGAAATATAAATTATTTAATCTGAGATAAAACAATGGGTTTTTATTAGTATGTGTAAAAGTGATGATGGATTAGATGAGAGAATACTTTTTATTCACTGACAGCAGAGAAAGATGAGAAAAAATTCAAAAAGGTAAGAAAAAATGAACAATTCAATTAGAAAAAAGACAAAAGACTTGAACAAACATTATACCAAAGAAGGTAACAGATAGCAATTAAGCACATGAAAAGTTAGGGAACTACAAATTAAAACAACAACGATATCACTATGTACCTATCCAGAATGGTTAAAATGAAAAACAGATGACAACACCAAATCCTGGTGAGGATGCAGAGAAATTGGATCACTCATAACTGCTTGTGGAAATACAAAATGGTGTAGCCATTCTGGAAAATAGTTTGACAGTTTCTTAACACTAAGAAAGGAACTTAACATACAACCCAGCAATTACACTCTTGGGCATGTAGCCCAAAGAAATGGACACTTATTTTCACTCAGGAACTTATATACCAATGTTTATAAGGCTTATTCATAAAGGCCAAGAACTGGAAACCACCCAAACATCTTTCTATGGGTGAATAGTTAAACTGTGGTACCTCGATACCATGGAATACCACTCATTCATAAAAAGGGATGAACTACTGACAAATTGAAAGAACTTCAAAGAAATTGCACTGAGTAAAGAGAGAATCTCAAAAAGAAACAGAATGCATAATTCCATTTATGTGACAACTGTGAAATAACAAACTATAAATACGGAAAACCAGAATAGTGGTGGCCAGAGGCTAGAGATGGGGGAAGTGGAGAGGAGTGGCTATTGAGGGGTCAGACAAGGAGTCTTGTGGTGATGATTTAATTGAGTTTCTTGATTGCTGTGGGAGTTATGCAAGGTTACACATGTGATAAAATTGTGTAGAGCTATAAACACATACATACATGTGGTATATATATAAAACTGGTGAAATCTGACTAAGGTCTGTGAATTGTGCTAATATTAGCATTTTGTTTTTGCTTTTACTGTAGTCATGTAACATGATGTTAACATTGGGTGAGGCTAAGTGAAGACAGTACATGGGACTTCCTTATACATTTCTTTGCAATTTCCTATGAATCTAAAATTACTTCACTATATAAAGGAAAAAAGCTAATTTTTAAACATTAACATACAAATTAAACATAAACATACAAATATCTTTTGTATTTTGTTCTAAGTTCATATGTATCAGTAATAAAATTAAAAATAAATGATTTATTAGATGAATATTATCAATTTAGATTTTAAAAAAGCAAAATCCAGTTATATGTTGCTTAAAAAATACAACTAAAATAAAATCACAAATAAGTATGAAAATGAAAAAAACAAAACAAAAACAATGTACCACACAAATGCCAAATAAAAGAAACCACACCTGCCCCAGAAGCCAGAATAAGCCTTTTAAAAAATATGTATGCATTCATAATTCTCTAATGGATTCTCATGCATTCAGAGTAAACAACCTTCTGAGGTCTACATGATGTGGCTTCCCATTACCTTTTCTCTTTCAATTTCTCTCTTATTCACTTCTACCTATATTAGCAGTGCTAGACGTCTTTCTGTTCCTTCAATACATCCAGGCAAGCTCCCATCTCAGAGCCCGTGCACTTCAGTTCACTTTGTCTGGAGGCATCTTCCCCTCTGTGTCCACACTGTTCACTTGGTCATTTCCTGTATTTGTCCCAATATCATCTTCCATAACAAATCTATTCATTGCAACTGCTGCCATCACCACTTGTCATTCCTTATTCTCCTCCCTGTTATTTTTCTCCATAGCTACTTATAACAATCTGACTTTCTATATATTACTTATTTTGTGTATTATTTATCTCCCCCACTATCATGTGAACACCATAAAAGAAGGGATTTGTGGTCACTTTCTTCATTCCTTTATCTCCACTGTGTTTGAATTTTTTTTTACAATTTCACAAACATAAATATAACCTCAAATTTGTATACACAGAACAGTTTTATGCAATTCTTTAATCTTCACAATGATTATATGAGTTTTAAAATCTCATTTCTGTTTTGTTTGGGAACTGATAATAAAATATGTTTCATAATTTGTCAAAGAACAGAAAACAAACAGGACAATCTAGACTTCAATCCATGACCTCCAGAACACTTTTCACTCTGTCAGAGATAAAACACCACAGCTGATGTTTAGCATTATAAACCATGAGTCAAGGACAAGTAGATTCTGGGGTTAAAGATATTCAATATGGTGTCATCCAATAAACCCAATGCAAAGAAACGTATCACATTTAGACCTCTCAGTGCCTTTGATGTATCCTTAAAACTCCACTCTGCAAAGCCTGCCATGTGTAAAGGATGGATTCACCCCTCCCCCAACAGTCTTCTACTTTCAGGGTCAACTCTGGGAGGACAGCAAAGCTACCCCACTGCCATGCACAATTCAAAGTTTGTTAAAGACCGTGGGAGAAGCATGAGGCCCACACTCTGTCAACTTGTGAAATTGTTTTTTCAGCCAGCTGATGCTTTTTGTTTTATCATTTTAAGGGCTTTGCTAGTGGCTCAAACGGTAAAGAGTCCATCTGCAATGCAGGACATCTGGGTTCAGTTCCTGGGTCAGGAAGATCCCCTGGAGAAAGGAATGGCAATCTACTCTAGCATTCTTGCCTGGAGAATTCCATGGACAGAGGAGCTTGATGGGTTACAGTCCATGGGGTCGCAAAGAGTCGGACACGACTGAGCAACTAACACTACTACTACAGTTCAATTTCAGAATCTCATAAAATTGTGTAAACCTACAAATTAAGACATCTGAATAAAATATACCAACAGTACACACATATTTACTGTTTTACAGTACATTCCAAACAAAAACAAAAATTTGACATTATTTACCTCAAGTATTTTATCCCCAGTTTTAAGAGCATTTGTTTTTCCTGCTGGACTGTCTTCCAAAACTTGTTTAATAAATATTCCTTTAAGCTCCTCTCCATTCTTTAAACGTTTTATGACAGTTTGTCCGCCAACAATACTAATACCAAGAGATACATCTGGTTCTCTAAAAATCTCAACGCTGTAGAAACAAACAAACAAGAAAACAGAATTCACTCATGAACAAGGTAATTTGTTGTATTGTCATTGAGTTCAGCGTGTATATCTTTGTGGCTCATTTTATATAAATACATTTTCACAAATGTTATAGAAGTTATACCTAGTTCCTAAATTGTAAGAATCTACTACTTCTATAGAATGAGATTAAATTCTGTTAGATTCTTATGAAACAATTTCATGGTATATGTGACAGTTTAAATTCTGAAGATGATTTCTAAAACAACAAATAAAACTCTTAATATTGAGAAATTTGGCTAGATCTTAATATCCCTATCTCCCACCACCATATATTTTTTGATGAGTCCTTTTCATCTACATCATATGTAACATTAGCAAAGAATGAATTGAGGAAATAACAAATGAGTGAAAAAAATCAAGGAAGTCACATGTATCATTTTGGCAAAAAAGCACAGAACGTCAGAATTGGAGAAGGAAATGGTAACCCACTCCAGAACTCTTGCCTGGAAAATCCCATGGAGGGAAGAGCATGGTAGGCTACAGCCCATGAGGTCGCCAAGAGTTGGACATGTCAGAGCAACTTCTCTTTCTTTCTTTCTTTCTTTCTTTCAGAATAAAATAAACTTGTCACTGACACGCTCACTGCCCATACTGCTATTCCCAGTCAGCCAGGCTAGCCTGTGTTTCTTTAAGTGGAGGACAGATTTTATTGCTCCAGAGACTGGAAAAGTTTTCTTTTCTTCCTACCTCCACATCATTTTCATAAAGTATGGAATAAAACTTGTCCCTCAAAATATTGTGAATTTTATTCAAACTGCACAGACATGGCCTATTGGCCTATTAACTCCAAAAAGTAGCTCAGAAAATAGCTAAGAGTTTTTAAGCCAAAACTCAAAAAGTTCAAGAAAAAAACAATGTGGGTGACATGGTGGAATTAATAATGAGTGAAGACAGAAAGAGCAGCTAATGGAAGACTTCTATAATCTTCATAAAGTGCAGCCCTGGTTACTACCTAAAACAATGAGTATCCACAGGAGGATGGGCCCAGCACACTCTGTTATTGCAAACAAGATATAAACTTGGACTAACATAAGGGGAGGAGGGGGCTATGTAACAGACGCCTCAACTATTGCTCTTGTTTGCTTAAAAGAAAAAAAGAGCTTTACTGCCCTCAAGACAGCCCTACCTGCCTCGCTTAGTGATACAATGAGAAAGCATACTTAGTCCCTCATAGATGGACGTCTCTAAGTTCCTTTCTCTGAAAAAATATGACAACGATTTTCCTAATATTGGTTACGGTCATTTTGCCTGGCTAAAAAGCTCTAGGTAAGACAAAATGCAACTGCAGTTTAGGCCAATGTACATGTGAACCATGGCACTCATTACAGAATGACTGACACTGTTAAACTGAAGAAAAGGGCAACCAATTGCACTGTCTCATTGAGAAAGGCAATAGTGTTGTCACCATACATTCTTGGTGGTCCCCAATGGCTGAAGTTTGGAGTTTCTTCTCCTTCACCTTCTTCTCTCTCAGGTAATTCACTGAGGAGAAAGACAGGAAAAAAAACATACACACATGTAACTTATAACACACTCATTATTAAAGATTCTTGAAAAGTTTTATATTATACAGTCTATATGCAGTTTAAAAGTTCTTAATTTCTAAGCTTTAAAAATATTTACATCAATAGTTAACTATCCATACCAAGATATATTGCTTAAATGTTCAAATTAATAAATATCCATCCAGTACCAGAAAATCACTGGTTATAAACACTTTCATTGGTGACACTGTAGATGCTATTTTCTAAAAATCTGTGTTTGTATTTGTAAGATTTTATGTTTGTTTTTCTATCAACATTTAAATATTACAAAATACATTTCTTAAAACTTGGTGAGACTGATGAGCTAACCATCTAGTAAAACCTGCACAAACAAGTGAAATGACTAAATAGTAAACATGATTGCTCTTTCTAGATTTTTTTGTCTCTCTAACCCTCCCAGTCATTTGTATTCTGTGAATATTTTGTGTATTTCCACAGCATTTTTCAGTTTACAAAAAGATTTGTTACACAATACAATCCTCTCACCACCATCATACTTCCACCCATCAAATTATGTTAATATGGAACTGCCTAGTGGAATGCTGAATTATAGAGTAGTTATAAAAGTAATGCTATCTAATAGGGTAGAGGCACTATAATCTATGACCTGGAAGAGGAGTCAGGATTTCTAAGCTCTAATCTAACCTGTATCACAAAATAGGCATGTGCCTTTGAACCACCAAATTAAATAACATATGTGATACTGCCAATCATATTACTCTATATAAAAATGTAGGTACTACTTCTTCCATCTCATTTTCACAAAAACCCCTGTGAAGTGAGCACAGCAGGTCATATTACTATATTTTCCACATGAGGCTCAGAGAAGGCTCAGATGTACTACACAACCTCTCCACAGTATCCAAATCTTTTCTTCAGCATGGAGTTTCAATGCTCCATCTTCCTCTGAACTCTCAAATAAGTCCTATAAAAAGCAAAACTCCAGATACTTGTCACTCTACAATTTTCTGGGATACAGTGGTTTAAGAATGATTGAAAAAAAGAAAGTGAAAAGATCTAAACAATCTGAAAATCAGTTAAAGAATTAAGATCATTAAGGATCACTAACTTCTTATCCACTGCAGACAATTTCCTTGCCTTAGCCATTCTACTTTCTATGATTAAAAGCATCATAAAATTCAAGGAAAACAACTTGTCAGATCATTGCTGGTTACTTATCTAATGCCCTCTCTCCCATCGTCTTTACCAATATAACACCCCTTTACTCCAGGTGGCACTATGCTCAGCTTTAAAAAATAAATTTTCTGGACTTCCTCTTAGCTAATGGTAACTGTCTGAAGAGCTCTGATCAGCATCAAGGAAGCAAAAGTCCTTGGATGAGACTTGCAGGAAAAACTCATTAAGTGGAGGGAGAATCAGCTGACAGGAACCTTTTGCTCTATGCTCTTTCCCTTTTTGCCTAGAAGGCAGAGGTGATTATTGGCGATGGAACATCCATCTTAAAATCATGAAGACACAATGAGGACTAAAGCAATACACTGATGACAGCACAGCAGAAAGGAAGAAGGTGTCCAAGACCCTCACAGGACTTCCTCAGGACTCTTTTACATGAAAGAAATCAAGCCCCAGTTGAGTTAAGCCACACTAACAGTTGGCAGCGGGGGGAGGTGGGCTGTGGGAGGGAAGAGGGAGGTTCAGTTTGTAAGCAGCTGAATGCAATCACTAAATGATACACCCATGATTTCACCAACTTAAACCTTCATTTTATCATGTCATATTATTATTTTTTGCACATGTACATATATGTTCATTGGATAGTGGTAATCATAGCATAAATTTTCATATTTTGATTATCCCATAATAGTAACAAGGATTAAATGAAATATTACTGGCATTTAACTGAGGCTCAACCAGTATGCATTTCCCTAAAATTTTTTCACTTGAATTTATATCCAGGTATACACAGTAGCTCGCCAGGCTCCTCTGTCCATGGGATTCTCCAGGCAAGAATACTGGAGTGAGGTATCATTTCCTTCTCTGAAACAACCATGTATTTAGAGTTAGAACTTTCCACCCCACCCCCACCTCTGGAAAGGGGCTAGAAGTGAGTTCAATCACCAATGGCCAATGATGTAATCAATCACGCCTGCATAATGCAGCCTCCATAAACCTCTCCCCACCTCCAAACAACAGGGATGAGAGAGCCTGCAAGTTGGAGAACACATTAAAGTGCTGGGAGGGTGATGTGCCCCAAGAGAGCATGGACGATCTTGCATCCCACACACTCCCTTCCTCACCTTATGTATCTCTTCCATTTGGCTATTCCGGAGTGGTATCCTTTACAATAAAGCAATAATAGTGAAGCACTTTCCTAAGTTCTATAAGCCATGTTAGCAAATTATTGAACCTCAGGAAGGTGATATGAGAATCCCCAACTCATAGTCAGTTGGTCAGAAGTAAAATTGGCAACCCGGAATCTGTGCCTGGCTTCTGAAGTTGGGACAGTCTTATGGGACTGAGCCCTTAACCTATGGGAGCTGCACTAACTCTGCAGTTAATGTCAGAACTGAAATGAATCGTAGGACACATTGTCCAAAGAATCAGAAAATTGGTTGGTGGGTGAAGGAAAAAATTCACACATTTTATGGGTAAGAAACAGTTCATGAAATATATTAAGAAAAAAGTACATATTTTTATTATGGCACATGCATAATATCATTATAAGAATTAAATTCTTAAATTTAAAATTACCTTAGAATGGAAGTCAAGTTTTCACATTGGTATGGGCTATATGCTTTTCTTTTTAAAAAAATAAAATAAAAAATATCCTAGACTGCTGACTTTCACATATAATATTAAGTGAAGGGAGAAAAATGTTATCTAAAATATGGAAAATTTTAGTCTTCTTTAAGAAAATCTGTAACAAAAGGATTATTCCATTAGATATACTTTTTCAAAGTATATTATTATTTTTTAGGAAATTGATGAACATATTCTATTCACATTATTTCATACCTAAAATGAGATAAAACTTTCAAAACCATACTGTGATTAGTTTTAGAAAGTCAGTCACAGGAGATGAGCAACTATCCAAAATAATGTAGTCACTTTACACTGATGAATGCATATACCTTTTAACCCAAATTAAAATTTAATGGAGAAAGTAAAATACTTTTACTGCACATATTAAGATGCAAATTTGCCCAAATGTACTTGAATCTTTCACAAGAGAATTCTAAACTCGAATTTTATAATTTGCACTTTGATTAAACATGGTCAATAGATCAATCAGTTAGAATCTCAAATCTTAAAATAATTGAACTTTTGCCTTTTACATTTAATCAGAGTTTTATAACCACTTTTCCTCTAAACGAATTAACCATCTAATAGAAATAATGCTTTTTATTTCAGTCCTTTTTAACAAATGCCCAAAGTTATCATTCTTTACAGATTTGGGAGGAAAGATAAAGTGCTCCATTAATGAACAAGTGGATATTAATAGTAAAACTTCATCATAATATACAATGTCTTTGAGATTAAAATTTCCTACGTCATACAAAAATCAGATGAATCCAGATAGCCAAGGTGACCTTTCCTTTTTAATATATATTTTTTTCACATAAAAATTCTGTATACTAAGCCATATAAGGGTCAAGCAAACTCAGCACCCCAAAATGAGGTAAGCAGGAAGAGTTACAATTGTGGCTAAGTTATCTTGAGATTTCTTTTTCCTTTTAAAATATAGACTCTATATGGCAATTTTCTGTGATACACTAGAGGGAATACGAGCATCTGGAGCCAGGCAGAATGGGCACTAATGTTTTCCAAACTAGTAGGGTTAGTTACACAAATATTACACTATGACCTTGAAGTTACAAGCAAATTATTATTTGATACCAGTATACATAAAGAATTAGTAATTACTATACATGAAAGTTTAAAATGACACAGACATGGTACTCAGTAAAAAGCCAGATAGCAAAAGAGTACCTATTATAAGATTTACATGAGTTCTAGAATGGAAAAAAATAATTTGCAGTATTAGAAGTCAGGAGCAGAGAACTTTCTGGGTGGATGGAAATGTTTAATATCTTGATTGGAGTGTTGGTAACATGAGTGTATATGTGTGTGTGTGTGTAAAAGTTGCTCAGTTGCATACAACTCTACGATCCCAGGGACTATAGTCCACCAGGCTCTTCTATCCATGGAATTCTCCAGGCAAGAATACTGGATTGGGTTGCCATTCCCTTCTCCAGGGAATCTTCCTGACCCAGGAATCAAACCCAAGTCTCTTGCATCATAGGTATTTTCTTTACCATCTGAGCCACCATTATACATTTATCAACATTAAGAAAACATAAAATCGCATTTAAGATGTTTGTTAAGAAACAAATGTTCAACTCATAAAGGGTGAGTTGCTTCCGTAGCTCTTTCCCTTTTTTGACCTTGTATAGAGCCTGCATTAGCAATGAAATATCTAATTATATTTCCAAAGGCATTAGTGTAATACTCCTGTGTGTCTCTTGTCCTAATTTCTCACACTCGTCTCCACCTGCAGTGTGGACCACAGCTGCAACATCATAAACTCCTTGGAAACTTCTCCTTTTTCCTTCCAAGTCAAACATTCCAGAGTAGTCCTCTCTCACATCCATGTATTTATTCTCTCCTTTACCCTTAGTCTTCTACCAATATTCTTAATTTACACATAATTTTTGGCAGTGGAACTCAAAGGTAGACCTATCAGAAACTCACCATTTACTTAAAAGGCACTAAATGCCAAGCAGTGTTGGGGACTTAAAATATAACACGAACTCACTTAATCCTTTCCCCAGCTATGACACTCAGTCTCATATTTCACTTCCTACTAGTCATAACAAAGTATCCAGTATCTGAAAGTATTTCTTTTCATTTGCATCCTATTATACACACAGGGCTTCGCTGGTAGCTCAGCTGGTAAAGAATCTTCCCGCAGTGTAGGAGACCTTGATTTGATTGACACAACTGAGTGACTGAGTACACACACACCCCTACGATTTTTTTTTTTTATTTAAAATATGCCTTTCACCTCAAGTTCATCATCCTCCCAGTTTTTAGCCTCTGACATCTTTCCTGTTTTACTTACTGTGATGTGATCCTATTTTATCTAAAAAAAAAAAAAAAAAACTACAACTTCCTTGAGTGTTTTAATAAACTCAGCAACAATGAATACCCTAGATACACCTCAAGGGAAAGGAGTTTGTCACTATCATCTAGCATCACTGACAGCCTTTCATTAAACATTTACTATGCTCAAGGCATTATATGAAATCCTTTATATTCACTTTATTGAACCTTAGAACTACCTATTTTACAAGTGAGGAAATACAGACACAAGGGAAACTCTCTCAGGGTCATATAGCCATAAATAACAGAGAACATATTTAAACAGCACCACAGTACTATACTGGAGAAGGTACTGGCAGCCCACTCCAGTACTCTTGCCTGGAAAATCCCATGGACAGAGGAGCCTGGTGGGCTGGAATCCATGGGGTCAAGAAGAGTCTGACAGGACTCAGTGACTTCACTTTCACTTTTCACTTTCACACATTGGAGAAGGAAATGGCAACCCACTCCAGTGTTCTTGCCTGGAGAATCCCAGGGATGGCGGAGCCTGGTGGGCTGCCGTCTATGGGGTCACACAGAGTCAGACACGACTGAAGCGACTTAGCAGCAGCAGCAGCACAGTACTATACTGCACATCTCCTATTAGTCTGAGAAATATCATGTCCCCCACTAATGGGCACACCCATGTCTTTAGGCAGCAAGTGATGACAGAGTTGAATTAGAAAAAGACTGAAGCCAGGTGAATTCTGAAAACATCATCTCAAGGAACTTTATGAAGAAAGAAGAATACTCAGAACAAGATCACTTAGATTCCTTTGAGAGTTATCACACTCTGTCTGCCCACCATTCTCCCTTCCTAGAGATCTTCACTTTCAGGGTGCATCTGACCTCTTAATATTAGTCCTGGAGGCAAAGAGAAGTTGGCTTATGCAAGAGCACAGTGAATACTAACAAAATGACTCTGCTGAGTCCTATGCAAAAATTAATGCAAAGAAACTGTAAAATAGCATTTAGCACTAGCAGACACCCTGATGATCTGAAAAACTATATTCTGAAAGGAATCTCTGCATTACTCAGGAAGTCTTCTGAGTAGCAATAAATATTCATCTACGAACCTAACTCCATGGGGCATACCCTGAGAGATTAAAAGGGGTAGTATGATTTACAGGAACACTTCTGGAGCCTGCTGAGACTGAAATATATACACTGAATCTATGACAGCAAGCCAAAAAAAAAAAAAACATTCAAATGCAAGACTGATCTCTCAAGACAAAGGTTAGGCTGGAGCCCTTAAATGCCTGTGCCAACACAAGAAATCAGCTTGTCAAAGTGCTCACTTTAGGAGTCAAGTGGACCTCTTCTCTCTGGGAAAACTGAGTCAGACACAACTGATGGAATGTTTCATATTCTGCACAAGGACGGAGGGGTGGGTTTGGAAATTTGTTTAAATCTTTTCCAATTTACACTTATAATTCTATAACGTGAAAAGCAGCTTCAATTCTGAATTCTTTGGCCAGAGTCCATTATTAACACTCAGCACAAGAGAAATTTAAAAAACGGAAATGTCTCTGAAAAATAATTTGACCACATAAAAAAACTCGAAACATATTCCTAACTCTTCCAGTACTTCCACTGCTAGGCATCTCTCCTAAAGAAACAAACTCATGGTTGTTTAACACTCTGTTCCCCTGGGAACTGGTTAGATCCCTTGCACTAGGACCCTGGGCCTGTCAGCTCCTCCCCTGTACACATTGGTCCAGGTCTGTTGAGTAAAAAGTCACCAATTTCTCCAACTAGTTGGACTTACCAGTCTTTCCTTTCCACTCAGACATAAGCTATGCAGAAGCCCAGACAACAACTTTTATTAAGTTTCTATCTAAAACTCTAGGCAAAGGTCACAGATCGCTGAACAGAGAAGTGACATATGTCTGAGACATTTCATATAACAAGACAAAATCTTTCTTGGACTAAGGTTTAAGTGAGAGCATTAAGATTCTTTTCCCATATAAGTTATTATAGAACATTCAGTGGAGTTCCCTATGCTATTCAGTAGGTCCCCACAGTTATCTGTTCTATATATATAGTAGGATGCACATATATTAATCCCAGTCTCCCAATTTATCACTTCCCACCCCCCACCCCCCGCCACATTTCCCCTTCAGTAACCATAAGTTTGATTTTGAGATCTGTGAGTCTGTTTCTGTTCTGTAAATAAGTTCACTTATATCATTTTTATTAGATGTCACATTTAAGTGATATCATATGACATTTGTGTTTGCCTGACTTGCTTCACTTAGCAGGATATGTGAATATGCATGATGATTCACTTTGCTATACTCCTGAAACTAACAAAATACTGTAGGTGAACTATATTCAAATTAAAAAAATAAATAACAGCATTAAGGCCAATTAATCCTACCCTATTTCTCATCCCTGTTACATTCTGCAACACCTCCAACTCTTTCATTTGCTTCTCCTGCCCAATACTCACAGTGCTACACTGCACTGGTTTTTCTTTCGGATGTGCTTCTGTCCCCACACCCCACTACCAACACCCACTCAGCAAAACTACCCATCGCCCTCCACAAAATCTCCTTAAATTGTAAAGAAACCGCCCAAAACCTAAATTCTTCCCTCACTGTTCTCTCAACCTCCTCTGTTCTTTAGCAGCTCTGATTCTCAGCCACAGATATCACACTTGAGAGGGTGATGTTCATTCTCTCACTCTCTGGGAAGCTGCAAAAAGAGAATCAATATTTTCCTAAATTCCTTCTCACCTATGCTATTCAGTAGGTCATTACTCTCCTACTCTTGTTTCAAAAGCTAATCTCTATTACGACACCTCTCCTTTTATGGCCCACTTTACTAGTACCCCATCATTTTGAGTAAATAACCTTTCTTCTAAATGACAGAAAAACAAAAAAACCCAAGGCCATAGGGTAAAAACTTTTTCGGATTCCAGGCCTCAAGGCACTAACAATGCCTGTATTTGTGCTTTCCTTTCACTCTTGGCACCTGAGCCCATGGAGAATATGAGCTTCCTCCTATCAAATATTAAAGGTTAATCTCTCTAGGTGTGCCATGTCCTCCTCTCCCTCCACCCTCTTCAGGGACTATGTTTAATCACCCACTTTCTAGCATTTACATATTCCTTTTCTGGATCTTTCACACTTACAATCTATGTGTGTGTGTGTGTATATATCCCCTTGCCCCAGTCCTACAATACCCTCCAGTTGTCTAGGTAACATGCATTCTTTCTGCCTCTTTTCATGATCAGGTTTCTCAAAACACTAGTCTGCTCTTACTTTATCCAATTTCTGACTTCTTTTCAATTCTCAACCCACTACTCTCTGATTTCCACTCTAATGAAACTGTTCCATGTGATCAAGTCCCATGAAAACTTCCATTTTATCTACCATGACCTTTCTCTGTCTTAGTCTGTAATGATCCTTTTGTTCAAATGCTCTCTTCTCTTGGTTTCTATATCAACCTCCAGTTCATCAATTTCCTCCTACCTTTTGTTCACTCCACTTCACTGTTTTCTTCCTACATTCCTGCCCTTAATTTCGCTGCTTTGCAGGACTCCAATTTTGGCCTGTTCTATTATCACTTGAGCCTCCCCTGGATGACTATTCAAATCCAGAAGTCTCACCTTCACTTGATCTTGTTCCCCAAGTATCCATATTAGGGTAGACCTCAACCCTAATCCTTGGAGGCATGTATTTAATTAACTCCATTTCACTTCATTTTTCTATGGATACTTGAACCCTCAACATGTCCCAAACTAAACTCATCATTTTCCTTTCAACCTGTTCATGCTCCTACAATCTTATGCCAAAGAATTAATGGTCCTGCTAGCCATCTAGTTGATCCATTCAGAAACACAGGTCATTTTCTCCTTCTCACTTCCCACATGTTATCAGTCAACAATTCCTATAGCCCCTCCAACTCTTAAGTGCAATCCTTCCTCAATTTGCCCTCAAGTATTTCTTGCTTGAGTTGTTAAATTCTTAATTAACCTCCATTATCTGATTAAAAACTCTACATAATCCATTTTGCACACAACTGCGAGAAAACAAAATTATATATATGGTACAATTTTAAGTATGGGAAATTCTCACAGTAATTGTTTAATATAGTAGGTTTTATCCAAAATATTTTTCTGCACTTTACAAATGTTCCACCATAAACATGACCTGTTGTTATTGTTTTTAACAGAAGTTAAAAGAAAGCTACTTTATAATGTGAAAATGCAGAGAAATAATATCATACCATGCATCAGTGGTATATCTAGAAGACAACATTCCTGCATATGCTGAAACCTTGGAAACAGCTTGAGTCCTGGAGAGTTGATATAGAGGCAAATCTTCTTGCTCCCTTCTCTGAGCCACAACAGGAAGTTCAACAAGCAAGCCAGGACCCTGCACATCATTTGGAATCATCATGCCTAAAGAGCAAAACCAGATGTTGGTGAGCACAGGATATGTTCATTCATTCTTCATTCATTCAACAAAGAGTTATGGATATCTACATGGGCAGGCCCCTTTCAGGTAGAAGACTTATTTATATTAAACTAAATAAGCAAAATATTTAACATGTCAGATGGTGGCAGTACTATGGTAAAAAAAAAAAATCTGCAAGGAAGGGAAATAAGGATTGCTCAGTGGAAGAGAGTTACAATGTTAAGCATGGCTTCAGTGAAAAGATATTATTTCAGCAATATGAATCTTTTATCAAAAGAATCTTATAAGTCAGAAAGAGAAAGACAAATACTGTATGATATTACTCATACATGGAATTTAAAAAAATACAACAAACTAACAAATAAAACAAGAGCAATGAAGATTCACAGATATAGAGAACAAACTAGCAGTTACCAGTGGAGAGAGGGAAGCAGGGAGGCAATATAGGGATATGGAGGGGAAAAGGTTATTATTGGATTATGTGAAACTTTTTTAAAATGTAAAGGAATGTAGGATTTTAAGAATCTTTCAATTAAAAAAAAAACTAATCTCCTTTACAATGGAGGTTATCTCCTTCAGTTCAGTTCAGTTATCTCCTTATCTTAGTTCAAATTTTCCTTCATTGATCTAGGCTGTATCAATTACAGACACACTAACATTTCACTGACTTAAAAAAAAATTCCACAGAAAAACAAATAATCAAATGAAAACACATTTTTGAAGGGGCTTTGTTTATAAATTCCAAAATTCTTTTACATTTGTTATCTTATTTAATTCTCACATTAAACTAGTTACAAGAGATACTAGTAATCATATTTTATAGATGGGAAATTCCAGGCTGAGGAATTTTGCCAATTAGAATGTGTGAATTTACCTAACATGTCATCTGTGTCACTTTTCTATTACAGAAAAAAGGAATAACTGGGGCAAGGCTGTGCACGCAGTGCTATGGTACATGTTTAGAGACCTGCATGCAGGCTGGCATAAACCCATTCATCGCTCTTAGGATACTCCTCGGTATCCATTACATCTAATCCATTACAATTCCCAGCCAATCTTTCTTCAATATAAATATAAAAAATATATTTTTTATAAATATAAAAAATACAAATATAAAATATTTTTATATAAATACAAAAAATACAAATATAAAAAATGGTGCATCAAATGCCTCCCTTCAATCCATACATTTATAGTACATTTTGGAAACTTGGCTTATCAGAAAATTAAAAATGATCACTAGGAGATATAGATACTCTTCTAAAACTTCTCCTATAACCATCACTTAAACTTTCCATTTCTTCATATTGAACAGATTTTCTAGTAAACTCACTTATACCTCTGCTTTTTATCTTGTCTAGACACTTTGAATCAGGATCTGGTCAGTTGGTAACACTGATTCGTACAGGACAGGAAATACAGCGGAGAGTCTGAGGCGAGGGGTGAGAGTAACTGTAACACTCAGGTGGGATTAAAGGAAGTCTCAGGGCCTCTCCCCCAGCGCCAGGCACCCCTCAGCCCACGCCTGGGCCCACACGCATGCATGCAGTCAAACCCGTAGACATGCACCACTGCTCTGGCCCCCTATGTCTGCCCTTCCCCTTAGGAAGGACTGGGTGGGATGGAGATTCTGCAGAAATGGCCTAAAAGAAGAGTCAAAAGAACAGAGAACTGGCTCTATTTGCAGAGCTAATTCCCCCCCAGCTGCACTGGTAAAGCAGCCTAATGAATGACAGCACTGAGTCTCATAGGGTGCTGCGGTTTGTCTAAAACCTCGCAGTGCCTGCTCCACACAGGGCGCCCATGCCCTTTGCCCACCCCTCCTCCTGGGCAGCGCTCAGGTACGCGTCTCTCCTCTCGCACCCTGCTTGACACAGGCGACTTCGCAGGCCTGCTCGTCAGGTGCACCATGGCATCCGGGAGCCCCTAAAATAAATCACGCCCTTTGGGGCCTGTGCGGTTGCCAGGTATCAGCCACAACAGGAAAACACACTTAGGGAAACAGGAAAGTTAAAAAAAAAAAAAACAGTCCCTGGATAAACGGAAGTTAATGCTTCCAGCAGAGGAATGGGAGTAATTTCCAAAAGGTCTATACTTAGTGAGGTGCAAGATGAGAAAGATAAACAAAATAAAGGCAAGAAGAATCCGTGCAGAAAAGGGGTTGCTGTACAAGGTGGCAACCAGACAAGAAAAATACAGGTAGGGAACTGGCATACTGATAAATCATGCCAGTTAAATCATGTCAGAACTGGCAAGCTGTTAAATCACCACACAGGAGCAGCATATCACCTTCTCATGCAAGAAACAGTTCCTGAGCACCCGCTGTGGTAACACAATCAGATATAAGCCTTGCCCTCCAGAAGCTTATTGTAAGAGACCAGTATGTGAATTCGCAAGGGTGCCTGACTCTGGGTGCAATGACAGAAATTCATCCAGGTTCACTGGAGGCCCATTTTAGGCAGGGCCAGTCAGACTGGGCAATAGAACTACTTTCTGTCTTTGAAGATACCTGATTTTAGAGCTGACTCACTGAAAAAGACCCTGATGCTGGGAAAGATTGAGGGCAGGAAGAGAAGGGGGCAACAGAGTATGGGATGGTTGGATGGCATCAACACAAAGGACATGAATTTGAGCAAACTCTGGGAGATGGTGAAGGACAGGGAAGCCTGGCGAGCTGCAGTCCATGGGGTCACAAAGAGTCGGACATGACTTAGTGACTGAACACCAACAATTTTAGATTAAGTACAGGGTGAAGAATAACCCTTTACATATAGGTTTTCAAAAATAATTTAAATGCTCATAAGTAACTCATAAAGTCTCTGTTACTAACAGAGTAGTCAAAGAGCTACAGATTTGAAAAAGGCCTTATAGAACACTTAAGCCAGTTGCACCATTTACAGTTGCGGAAGTGGGGAAGCTTGGAAAAGTGGGTGGTTTGCCTGGTGACATAGCAGATTAACGGCTTAGTACTGAGGGACCTGGGATTGAAACTATACTGACTCTGTATCAATAATTTCTCAGTTCACCCATGGTTAGCATTAATACAAGTACTTGCACTTGCCACACAGCATTCTGGCAGCTCTCAAGAATTTTTTTGCTATGAATGCTCAAAAATAAATTCACTGATAGTTGAAAATTTTCCAAAATACATGTGGTTATGGACACGTTCCTAGTGAGGACAGGCCTAAGGTATAACATTTGTAGCTTAATACCTAAAGCTATAATCTCCAAAAATAGAATCCAAGTGCCTTGACAAATATTAGACTAAGGCAGTACAGTAGGTTGATTGATGGTTCACCTGGATATATGTATCTGCCACAGAACCTATAAATGAGACCTTACATGGAGAAAAGGACTTTGCAAATGTAACTAAACTAAGCATCTTGAGATGAGACAATCCAAGCAGGCCCTAAATCCAACAGGTGTCCTTATAAGAGACAAAAGAAGAGAAGACATGGAGAAGAGGAGAGGGCCCAGTGAGGATGCAGGCAGAGATCAGAATGAAGCAGCCACAAGCCAAAAGATGCTGGAGTCACCTGAAGCTGGACAGGAAGAAGAACAGATTCTTCCCAAGGCCTTCAGAAGTAGCTGCTGCTGCCGCTGCGTAGTCGCTTCAGTCGTGTCCGACTCTGTGCGACCCCGTAGACGGCAGCCCACCAGGCTCCCCCGTCCCTGGGATTCTGCAGGCAGGAACACTGGAGTGGGTTGCCATTTCCTTCTCCAATGCAGGAAAGTGAAAAGTGAAAGTGAAGTCGCTCAGTCGTGTCTGACTCCTAGCGACCCCATGGACTGCAGTCTACCAGGCTCCCCCGTCCCTGGGATTCTCCAGGCAAGAGGACTGGAGTGGGTTGCCATTTCCTTCTCCAATGCATGAAAGTGAAAAGTGAAAGTGAAGTCGCTCAGTCGTGTCCCACTCTTAGCGCTTTCAACAGAAGTAGCACAGCATATTAATTCAGGACTAAAGGGCTCCAGAAGAGTGAGAGAATTAACTACTGGTGTTGGAAGCTGCCAGGTATGTGGTGACTTGTTACAGGGCCCTGGGAAAGTCATGCAGGCAGCAGAAGTCAGAGGAAACAACTTCGGAGCCACTTAGATGATACCTAGAGGAGGGCTCAGAGGAAGGCTGAATCATCCCATGAGGACAAAGTCCCTTGCCCTGTCTTTCTCCTAACTCCAAAGTCCCTCTTCACAAACACTCACCCCGTATTTCCAGCCCATTGCTTTCAATCCTGACAGTATAAAACAGTGAATGGGTCTCAACCTGGGGCAATTCTGTCTCCCAAGGGACTTTTTGACAATGTCTGGAGACATTTTGATTTTGATCATGACTAGGAATGGGAATACCACTGGGATCTAGCATGAGAAGGCAAAGGGGCTGCTAAACACCTGGCGATGCACAGGGAAGCTCCCCATGACAAAATTATCTGATCTGAAACAACGCTGGATGTTACTATAAATTATTCACATCAGTGGCAATCAAGCACATTAATCCATTCATTTGTGCCATAAAAGAGGGCACAGAAATGTGGTAGGTTTAAAAAACAAGACAAAAAACAGTATACAAGGAGAATTTTTGTGAAAAAAATTACATTTTACTCCTAGCCACAATCAGTTATACATTACGAAAAATTTAATAGACTCACTTAATCTAAGATATTCAAATTAACCATCTCAATTTTTTAAATTAACTATTCATGATGTGTTCTCACTGGCAGGGAACTGGCAATTGTTATCATCTCATAGATGCCTTCAATCTTTAATAACATTAAAAGAATCCCATTCTTTTAGATTTTACTTGATAGAATGTTGAATTCATATAAAACAGTTACACAACTTTCTACAGATATCTCTCTCTCCTAACAATATATTATCATATAACACAAGAACTGCCCATAGAGAAAGACTTTTCCTATAAGTAGATCAAAACAGGTGAAGGACGGCATAAATCCTAAACAATGGCTCTATAAATCCCAATACTTTGAGTCTCTCCTAGGGAATCTTAATATTACAATGACATTTGATATTGCAGTGTTGGATAAGGGAAGATTACTTTTTAAAGTCAAGTTTTCAAAAATATATAAGAATCAATATGGGAAGAGGCAAGGAGAAGCACTATACTTCTAGGATTCTTTAATGGAAACTAAGTTATTAATGCACCAAAATTGACTGTAATATATGGCTATAAAAATGTTTCATAAATGTTTAAAATATGTCTCTCTTTATTAATATTTAACAACCCCATTCAATGAGCTAACAGTATCACTTAATAGCATCAGAGATTTTAATATATATTAGTAGAGACTTATTTCAGATTCAGTATATGGCACTAGTTTTAGTTGTAATCCACACAGCTAATAAAAAGCAAAATGAGGCAGGGAAAATGCAGCCCTCACAGAAAGCAGAATCTGAAAGCTCTAAGTTGAAATACGGGTCACATTACTTTTCCAGATATTTTGAAACAGATGAATTAATAAGCAGATTTCAATTCAAAATATTATAATGAATGAAAATATGACAGTAAAATTCATCATATGCACAAATAAAACTGAAAGAAATGTAACTTCGTTTATGAGAAATGAAAATCACAAACCTAAATCCAGACTACTCTTTGTTAATGAATTAAGATTTTCCAGATCATCAAATCTGCCTTGTTGAGTGTTTCCTTCAGCTGAGGGTATGGAGAGGGAATCGATGCCAAAGTTCTCTTTCATCTCGAGAGGAAGAAAAACAGAAATGCATTAGCACTTTATGATAAAATGTGGAACACCATAATGTTGTTCAACCCAGATCATAATGATAGTGGAAAACTGGCCCTGCAAACAGGCCTTCTCAAGTAACATTTTATACTGTGGTAAGCAGTTACAAATGCTAGTAACTTAATATCTGCAAGAGAACAGGCTAGTAAAAATCTGTTTTTTCCAAACACTGGATTTTTTAACAAAAAATCATTTTATAAACATTAATAAATGCATTCAAATAAACATTCACCAAGGTAGAGGAATAAAAGATCTATCAAGGCAAGCAAGGTCAATGGTTGATACATGTTACATTCTGGATCAGGCTGGATCACTACTTAAATAGCTTCATTGCTGATCTGGAAACACCTGGTGAATTTTCACAGCCTTAAGAAACAGCTGGTGAATTTTCATAGTTCTAAGCCTTTGCTATGCCCTCCCTTACACTCTTATCTACCTAATAAACAACCTGTTCCCTGAACCTTAAACTCACAGATAAGCACAGTCAGTAGTTACTACACTTTCCCTGTCTTCCTTTTGTACACATGTCTTTTATGGTTTTCCAAAGTTATAATCTTCCAGAACATACAATTTTCACTGATGTATTTTATTATATTAAAAAAACATTTATATGTATGAAATTAAGTTGCAACATATGGCCACCACAGACATATACCTTCAATCAGGGGTTCCCAACCTCCAGGATCTAATGGCTGATGATCTGAAGCGAAGCCGATGTAATAATAATAGAAATAAAGGGCACAATAAATGTAATATGCTTGAATCATCCTGAAACCATTCCCCCACCATGGTCCGTGGAAAAACTGTCTTCCACAAAACCAGTCCCTGGCACCAAAAACACTGGGGACCACTGCCTTAATTCATTTAAGGTTAATAGCACTGTAATATTCTCTGTTGTTGGAAATTTAGGTTGTCCAAAACAAAAACATAAATTTTATTTTTTACAACAGTCCACATTTTTTCATGATTATACAGGTCATACTTCAACAGTAAGAAAAAGACCTCTCATAAGCCGATGTACCAAATACTGCTAGATTTTAACAAATAGATTATGAATATAATTGAGTATAAAACTATATCAGATACCCAAAGGAACCTAGAGTACATAGAATTCAACTCAAATATTAAATAGAGGTGAGAAAGGAAATATGACTAGTTAGTAGTCTAGAATAAAACAAGAAGAACTTCTTAGAGCAGAGACTAGGAGGAGATGGGAGCCACTGAGTATTTAAAAAGAATAAAATTTACAATCATTTTTTGAACCGTTTGGTTATTTCTTTTAATTAATAGCAATTAGGTAACTGAGGAATAAGAACTGAGACCTGAATCTGAGGTTTCAATACACTGGATATGAAAGGTTAGATCTTTAGAAAAATCAATTCAGTTTTTTCCCTAAATAGAGAAGAAAATGAGAGCATAAATTTAGTCTCAGACAAAAAGAATCAGATATTTCCAAAAAGAGAAAAGGACTTAGACATTTTTCCAAAGAATATTTGAAGATGGCCAATAAGCACGTGAAAATTTGCTCAATGTCACTAATAGAGAATTACAAATCAAAACTACAGTGAGCTACCACTTCACACCTATCTAAAAAACAGAAAGCAAGTGTTAGTGAGGATATGGAAAAATTAGAAAATCTGTGCATTGCTGGCAGGAATGTAAAATGGCACAGAGGCTATGAAAACAGTACGTGATTCTCCCCAAAATTAAACAGAATTACCACATGTCCCAGCAATTTCACTCCAGGGTGTGTACCACCCAAAATGTGGTTTTGAACAGATGTTTGTATAGCAGTGTCCACAGCAGCATTGTTCACAATAGCCAAAGACAGAAACAACCCAGATGTCCATCAATTGATGAATAAGCAAACAAAATGGGGTATATACATTCAATGGAATGCTATTCAGCTTCAAAAAGGGAGAAAAGGCTGACATGCTACATGTATGAACCTTGAAGACATCACGATAGGTGAAATAAGTCAGACACAAAAAGATAAATATTGTATGATTCCATTTACATAACGTTCTTTGAACAGTCAAATTCTTAAACACACAAAGTAGAATTGTGGTTTGTTGCCAGAGGATAAAGGAAAAGGAGAATGAGCAGTTTATTGTTTACTGGGTACAGAGTCTCCACTTGGGAAGATGTAAAAATTCTAGAGATGGGTGGTCGTAATGGTTGTTCAATAATGTGAGTATATTCATTCCATGAGAACTGTAAGCCTAAAAACGGTTAAAATGGTCAACTTCATATAATGTATATTTGATCACAACTAAAAATAAAGAATCAGATCTATCAACCTTGATGGTTTTATCCTTCAACTAAAATGGAGTAAGAGTGTGGTGGAGAAAGAAAAGCTTATAAGTAGTTGGGTACTACTTGCACTCCACAAACATAGCTATACTTGTAGCCCAAAATAGATATTATCAAATATAATGAAGAAAGAATGATAATGTTTCACTGCCTTCTAGAGGACACCCTCTAAATAGAAGAGTACCGAGAATTACATATTTGTAAGGCATGTGACTGTGTTTTTAAAATCCACTCACCCAGAGCTTATAATATTAAATAATAAATGATCACTATGGAGTCCACCATAATGACAGTAAGACAAATAAAGACCCAAGCCCATCCTGATCATGTGCGCACAACTGTTAGAGAGGATCAGGATACTCCACCCAGAAATATGCCACTTTGGCAGAGACAGTATTCTGAGCTGAAGAAAAGAAGAGACACAGAAAAGTTTCCTATCCTCCCCTGGTTCTGAATCACCAAAGATGACTCTAGACTCTTTCCACCTCAGAGATGACGCTAAGAGAAATGTATATGACAAACATTACTAAAACAAACCTTATGGTCCATCAGTTTCCCCCATAATATTTACCTTCACACAGTAGCTAACCCTAAGAGCCTGAATCCCTTTCCCTCTATCTTGACACTCGTCTACAAATGTACTGTCCTTCATTAAGATGCTACATAAGCCCAAGTTCTAATCCCTCCTTTGAGTGATCTATCACTGAGTTTTTCCTGTGTATATGCATGCTGCAGGTGTTAATTAATTGGTTCTCTTCTGATAATCTGTCTTTTGTCAGTTTGATTTCCAGGGCCCCAGCCAAAGGAACCTAGGAAGGTAGAGGAAAATGTTTTTCTTTCCTCACCTACACTCATCACTGTGGGATATGGATGGGAAATGGGAAAAATAGCTAATGCCCATATATCCAAAGAAACTATAATTCAAAAAGATAAATGCACCCCTATGTTCATAGCAGCACTATTCACAATAGCCAAAACATGGGAACAACCTAAATGTTCATCGACTGATGAATGAATAAAGATGTTTAGATACATACAATGGAATACTACTCAGTCATAAAAAAGAACAAAATAATGCCATTTTCAGCAACATGGATGCAACTAGCAATTATCACACTAAGTAAACACCATATGGTATCACTTACATGAAATCTAAAATATGACACAGATGAACCTATCTATGAAACAGAAACAGAATCATGGACATAAAGAACAGACTGGTGGTTGCCAATGGGAAGGAAGTTGGGGAAGAGATGACCCTCCCCCTGGTTGCAGTCAGTAGATATAAGCTTTTATATATGAATGGATACAACAACAAGGTCCTACGGTATAACACAGAGAACTACATTTAATATCTTATGATAAACCATAAGATATGGAACAGAATAGTTAAAAATGTGACAAGAAAGCCTGGCATGCTGTGGTCTATGGGGTCACAAACAGTCAGACACAACTTAGCCACTGAACAACAACAATGTATGTATAGCTGAATCATCTTGCTGCATGCCAGTTAACTAACAAACGTTGCAAATCAACTACACTTCAATTTAAAAGAAAAAGTTAACGCCCCACAGGAGGAACATATAATTACTGAGAGAAAGTAAATCTGTTTAGGTAAGACACATTAGGGTTAAAACAATCTTAATCAATGCCAGTTTAAGGAGCCTATAGTTTCCTACAGGTTACCTAGCAGAATCAGACAGCTGGGAAATTTAACAAAGTTAGTAACTAGGAACTGTGTCCTTCAAACTGTGAGCACTGAATGTTGTTTCAGCAAGCTTTATAATGAGCTTGATAAATAATAGAGGAAGTGGCTACTCTGTGGATTGATTGGGTCATCAATATAAACTTACAAGAAGAATTTTTTAAAAACCTAATGTTATACAATGATACTTGAGAATAAATTTTGACTGGTAGCATGGATTAAAAAGTTACTATGTCTCAAACAACATAGATGAAATGAAGAAGGTATGGTTGCAAAACTGTGTTGAAAGATCAAAAAGTGATTCTAGTAATAATGTAGACTCTGACATTAAATATGCATTGAAGGAATATGAGTTAAATTCTTTCACTAAATGCAAGAACAGGCAAACACCTGATATTTTACTAGGACACTTAACTAAATATATAAAGTATGAATATACTATTCATCTATATCTCTAAAAGTTTATATATTAAAATGGGACTATATTTCAGGTTGTCTTATATTTGAATAAAGGGAAAAATTTATTTTTATAGAAGAAAACAGACATAACAAGAATATTTATTTACATACTCATAATGTGCTCCATATAACTAAATATTCTGTTTGAGGTCAAGCACTTAACAGACACAGGAGTGGGACTGAATGGGACTGGCAGAGATAAAAAGAACCAGTGTCAACAGCAACATACCAGGTGATTCTATGTCACCTCTGCCCACATGATTCACATAATTCCAAAACATCTGTTCTCTGGTAGACTGCCCAGAGTCCAGTATCAAGGGTAATCCTCAAGGGCTCCTAAAATACATAAATACAGCATCTTGCACAGCAGAGAGACCCATCATGAAATGAGAAAGGGAGGAAGGTCGAGGGAGGCAAGGACAAAACCCAGCTCTATCTGCCCTGGGAGAGAACAAGCTAAGGCCGCTTTGCACATCACTGCAGGGCAGCTGCTGACCTCGCTGAGGACGGCAGCATACTGTTCCGAACATGCTGCTCTGTACTCCATACACAAGACTTCCTCTTCATCTGCTCTGAAGTTAATTTGGGTCAGGAAACAAGCAAAAATAAAACATTAAAACATCCCTACTGAAAGATTCCAGTTGGTGACCAGTTAACCCTAATTTTATTTTTAAAAATAAGTTTATTGGTGATTTAATAGCAAGAGAAAACCTAGTAAATACAATGCATTCCTGTCAAGTTATCAACAGGCAGTATCACAAATGTAAGAATAATTTTCTAGAGTTCAGTGACTTTCTATTTAGTATTGTATATAATACAGAGGACACTGTGGATAAGCAAGACAGAAATAACAGATCTTTAATCAATTTTGCCTTGATTTTCCTTGACAAACATGTTATGTGAGAAATACAGAGCTATATCTCCCTGAGGGGATTTTTTTTTTTTTAATCACAAATGATGAAAGAACTCTTCCTTGAAATGGGTATCAGGAGGAAAACATCACTAAAAAAGCAAGGTTAAAAACAACAACAACAAAAACCACATCATAACAGCAAAGCAACTATAGCTTATTGACTCTAACTAGAAGTTATACAATAAAGAAATGATGAGCTTTTACTTAAAAACAAAACACTGTTTGGTACATTTTTGAAAAAACAATGTTCAATGATGAAAAGATTCATTAAACTGTGTTCGTGTGTTTAAAAGTTACATGACTGATGGACAGAGATGGGGAGGGGAGGAGTCAGGAAGGATGCGGAAGATGCATTGTAATCCCTTACCATCTCTTCTGGGCTACAGCCGCACTGTTGCATGTCCTGAGGGTACATGCTCATCATGTGTCCTGCTTCTTGAGGCTCGGGCAGTTCACGATCCGGGAACCACTGTGTACCAAAGTGAACCTCCTCCATGGACGGAACAGGAGCAGCCTCTTGAATGTGTGATGAGGGATACGACTCCAGGGACTGAAGTTGGTCTTGATAGAGCTCATATTCTTCATCAACAAGCATTTCTCTTTCTTCACCCATCTCTTGCAACCTAGGGACCATAAATTCATGCATTTCCCAGGCCTCCTTGCTATTGTCTATCTCTTTTTGTTGGGACTGGAAAGCCTTTCCCAAATCTAGAAATGGCTCATCCACAAGCTCTTCTTTAAAATAGGGCTCATCTCTAAATCCCTGTGAATAAAAATTGCAAAACAAAACAAAACAAAACTTTAAACTCTGTCTTAAAGCTGCACTCTACACATTAACTGGAAAATTAACCCCTGGCATAACTGCAGTAATGGTATTATATGCCAATGCATGGTTAACCCGAACAGCTCTCCATTACAATAGAGGAGAAATATAACCTTACTGCCACACAAACCTCAACCTCGAAAAGGAAACAACAAAAGAGGCAACAATCTGCCTTTGGCAAGGTGACTGACTAGTCTAAAAGGTTTGTTACACATTAACCACCTGAAAATTCTCAGAAGAAGGAGTTTTGTCAAACTGCTAAACTGAATGTTTAACTCATGCATCTCATATAAAAAGTAATACATAAGTATGGATACACTTCATACCATCTCAAAAGAAAGCAAAGACTTAAAAGGTCAGGAATATCCGGCTTATGTAGCTCAAAAGAAGTTCATGGGCTCTTTGGATGTTTACAAAACCTTCTCTATAAACTAAAGATATAAGGAATATGTGCAACTACTTTGAGTATGACTCTTTTATAATACACCATTTAACAAAAGTTAATTTTTGCATTTGCATTAATAATATAAAACAAAAAGGAATGAATACAGTATGCTCGTCAATTAATTTCAAACTTCACTAATCAAAAGAGCAAGAATATAGAACTAAAGCTAGATAGTCCCCTCACATGAGCAGAAACCTTGTTGAGTTCTTAGGAACACTTGAGGAATATATGAGTCTGCTGAGCCTTTGACCTAACTTCAAGGGACCTGAGGGTGCTAAGCACAATAAGGCCCAATTCCCTCTGAAAGATCAATGACATTTCCTATTTTAAATCCTATTCATTAAATATCAATAAATGTACATTCATGAAAAGAATCTACACCTTCCCACTGCTTCCTCAGTTGCAGCTAAACATCATTGCAGTGACGCATTTAAGCTAATATAGTATGGCAAATACTGTAACCTAGTTATTTCAAAAAAGAAAAAACTGTATTTAGAAGGTATATTTAAACATGTCACACAGTTAAGAAATTGTAACAAAAATGTATAAACGAAAAAAAAAACATAATGGACACTACAGGACTACATATCAGGTTTAGACACTGTCAACAAACTATGCAAAGAATATCAAGACAGTTGTTATCAAGTTAAGAAAAATCATCCTCTAACTGCTAAAAGCAAAATAAACACAATTCACTTTAAGAATGAAAAAGGAAAAGTTTCAAAATATACTTTCTAATATTAAAGCATAAAGTAAGGTTTGACTAAATAATTCTTCTTTAGAAAATATTCAGTAAGTTCTTCTGGGGAAAAAAAATAAGTTCTTTAGTATAGCTCTTATTCTACAGCATTTTAAGTGCAGGTCTATTTTCAAAACTCTCTCTACTCTTAAAATTTTAAGAGTGTATTAGTGATATAAAGTCAGGTATGTTTGTTCTTTGAAAATGCCTTATTCCTAGCCGACATCACTTACAGAGGCAATGTGATACAAAAGAGAAAAGATTTCAGTTTAAAAAAATTTTTAAAGGGGGAGACTATTTAATTTGTTTCTATTTAGCCAAGACAGTAAGAACAAGCTTTTTTCTTCTTTATAATAGCAACTGTTTAAATGGGGGGAAAATATACTAAATACCTGGGGTGCTTCAAGTATTAAAGATGAATTTATATCATGAATTATTCCTGAAATTTCAGTCTTGTCTTCATTATTGCTTGAAAGTAAAATGCGACTTTCTTCCTCTTTATCACCTTCCTGAAAACAGAAGCATTTTGAATTTTTTTAGTATGATTGAAGAACTGTTTTTGTAAACCATGAACCTCTTTTTATTGAGTTCTAACTGACCTACAACATTATGTTAGTGTTAAGTATACAACATAATGATTTGGTACATGTTGCAAAATAATCACCATGAAAAGTTTAGCTAACATTTGCAACTTTCAAATATACCACACAGTATTGCTATCTACAGTTCCCATGCTGTACCTTGCACCCTTAGGACTTATAACTGGAGGTTTGTATCTTTTAACCATCTGCACCCATTTCACCCATTCCCAGCCCCCAGTTCTGGCAGCCAAAGAAGCACTTCTGTACTGAAGAAAACATTTTGGTTTCAAATGTTTTTCAAATTAATTCTCATCTTTCCATTAAGTGCAAGTACATAGTACTTAATGTACATTGTTTCATTAGAGCAAACTTTTCCTTAATAATTAAAAAAAAAGCCATATTCAGGTCAAAACTTCTCAAACTTTTAATTCTTTTTAGGTATTCCTTAAATAAAAAGTCACTTTCCCAGGAACAGACCTTAATATTAAGAAATGCCTAAGTTTATACAGGATGATACTCAAAATATTTAACAATGGTACAATGTAGCCACTCTCCCTCAGAAGAAGGACAGCCATCCTAGTGCTCACGAGCTTAGCATCAGTTCCAGGTAATAACACAGCCACTATCTACCAAGCCCTAAGTATACATCACAATTCATGGTAGACACTTTTACATGCTTTGTCTCAGCTTAATCTTTATATTAAGAACTTAGTACCAGTTCTATTTATTTATTCTATTAGGTCAGGATTTTATATTTGCACAAAAATAATAGAATATATATATTTATGTATATGTACATCACAGGTACAGGTCTTAGAACTTTAAATATATATATTCTAAGAAGTAGGTGCCCTTAATAACCCTATTTTACAGATAAGTAACAGATGCACAGTAATTTGCTCAAAGTTACATAACTAGTCAGTTACAGACCCAGAATTTGAGTACTGGCCATCTGGTTTTAGAGCCTGTGCTCTAAACTAGCATGCTACATGGTTCCAAGTAGGAGCTGGTAAGGTTAGATAATAGGCGCAAGGACACATAGCTTGGCAAATCACAGAACTAAGCCAAGCCCACAGTTGTCTGGCTCAATAACTCCACTGGCAGTTCTGTCCTGTGAGTTCTGAAGATACAGTGTCTTTCATTCATTTATTTCTTGTATTACTTTTGGCTGTGCTGGGTCTTTGTTGCTTTGTGCAGGCTTTTTCTAGCTGAGGTGGGTGGGGGCTACTCCTCACTGCTGTGCACAGACTTCTCATTGTGGTGACTTCTCTTGTGAGGCACAAGCTTTAGGCACACAGCCTTCGTAGTTATAATATGTGAGCTCAATAAATAGTTGGGGTGTGCAGGCTCTAGGGTGCACGGGCTTCAGTCATTCTGGCACACAGGCTCGGCAGTTGTGACTCATGGACCCTAGACCACGTGGGCTTCAGGAGTTGTGGCACGTGGTTTCAGCAGCTGCGGCTCGCAGGCTCTAGAGCGCGAGCTTGGTAGTTGTGGCACATAGGTTTAGTTGCTCTGCGGAATGTGGACTCTTCCCAGGCAGGGATCAAATCCATGTGCCCTGCACTGGCAAGCAGATTTTTATCCACTGTGCCACCAGGGAAGTCTGGTACGATGCACTTTTTAAGGTCAGTTCATTCATTTTTTATCTAGGACTTTTGAGGTGAGTTTGTGGAAAAGAGGTCACATTTGTGGTTAACATGAAAATATATAGATAATAAGTATCTACATAAGACTATAATATAAGATTACATAATATCTATATTCTATAGATAGTACATATCTATACCTGTGGTATAAGACTTAACAAAAAATAATTCTGCTCTCCTGTTACATATTCATAGTCTTTCTGCCCAGTCTTGACTTTGGCCCTTTCTAGTCACACTCTCTCCCCAGTTCTGCTGAGGACAAAACAAATGCTCAGCAAATACTAGGTGATGACATAAGTGGCCACCCGCTGGACCATGAGAAAGAGACAGAGACAGACAGACGATCCATGCATGGTTATTTACAGCTCACAGACAGTTTTGCTTAAAGAACCCAGATGTTAAAGAAGCAATATTTAATGGTAATTCCACTAAGAATTTTTGTGTTCTTGAAAGTGACCTTCTCTCATTCCTTTACTGGCCTCATACTCCCCAGCACCCTGGCAGCCTTATACCCACTGAGGGAAGCTGAGGCAAGGAGCCACCTCACAATTGCATATTTCAAAATCTATCAGAGCAAGACTCCAAGGTCCCGAGATTTCTGCAGCTCTACCTCTACCAGAAATAGGAACAGGAATCCACACCCAGCTGGTACTAAGTTCTGTTCTTTATACTGCCTGAGCCTTCTTTAAATTGCTTTAAAGTCAAGTCACACTGTTTAGGTCCTGTAAACCTAAACAGGTTTAGGTCCTGTTGCCTCTGGCAACCCCAATAATCAGGCAAATAATCATCACGGAAAATCTAGACAAAGTTCTTGCCACAATCCAAAATACCAATAAAGAGGTCCCCATAAAAACATCAAATTTCCCCCTCCTTAATCTGTCCCAAAATCAAACCAAGCATCTCATGGTATATATTGACTATGGCAAAACTCACACATCAAATACACAATATAAAGTCAAGACCTTGCCTTAGCTATGTGCCATATTCCATTTTGAAGTGCTTAAAGTAACTGACAGGTGTAATATATAGGCATCTTTATGTGTAATATGTGATGAATAATATATGAAGGTCATGTGAAATTCTCCAATGCAAAAATATTATGTGTAATACATGAATCTATCTACGTCTACAAATGAACATATAATTATATATAGACAGATATCTATCTATATGAACACTCATTGTTGTTGTTAAGTCTCTATGTCATATACAACTCTTTTGCAACCCCATAAACTGTAGCCTGCCTGGCTTTTTGGTCCATGGGATTTCCCAGAGAAGAATACTGGAATGTGTAGTCATTTCCTTCTCCAGGAGATCTTCCTGACCAGGGATCAAACTTGCATCTCCTTCAGGACAGGCAGATTCTTTACCACTGAGCCAGCAGGGAAGCCCATAGTATGCTAATATATTTCACAGAATAAAGGAACTTTTAGAGTTAAGAAAGATCTTATCAGTTCTCTAGTCTTTTTTAGTCTTTCAGAAATGAAAAAGTAGGCTTAGAAAAGTGGGGTGCCTATGACCAAATTATTGGTACAGTGTTTCTCAAAGTACCAAATTCTGCATCAGAAATACACTGGTGACTCACATGAGGCAGACTCCTGAGAATCTGAGAACCACCAAATCAGCATCTCTGAGAGTAGGACCTGAGAAACTGCATTTTAAACATCTTCAAGGTGATTCTTATGTCTATGTCATCTCTGTGAACTTGAGACCCACTGGGCTAACTTGTAGCAAAGTTCAAAACAGAGCCCAGATTTCTTGAAATCCAGTCCAACACTCTACTATTGCAATCACGGTATCTGTTTCAGACATGCTGCATGAAACTTAACTAGTGACAACAAATTACAATTGGAATATACAGCACTGTAACTAAGAGCACAGGGTCTGAAGCCACTCTGCTGAGTTCATATTTCAACTCTGCCCCTTCCTAGTTATATCATCTTGGATGAGTTACTCAACTCTATGTCTTGACTAACTCATCCGTAATGGTGGTAATAAGACGACTACCTCCCCTTTAAGTTTCTGTGATGATTAAATTAGTGTGCATAAAGAGCTTAAAATACTGACTAGACATACAGTAAGCACTCAATAATACTTCAGTACCAATTACCAACCAGTATTTTTTTAAAGTGGGGGATTGGGGAACCTCAATAGCACCATAACGAACAATACTTCAGTCAGAAACAGCGTTCTAGGGAAATTACAAAAAAAAAAAAGAAAAGAAAGAAAAAGAAACAGTGATTTGACCTAGTACATGAGATTAAACAATAAGATGACTTCAGGGTGGCTTAACCAAATCAGAGTTTAGATGCTAGGGATTACAAGGCACTGTGACGGTCAGAAAACCATATTATGATTTCATTGCTATATCATTAAAATGATAATGGTTAACTGATTTCAACTTACTGAACCATTCTGATATTGTGCCCAAATGAAAGTTAAAACACATAAACAGGCTTATTTTAATTTATGTCATATGGAATGCAATGAGAACTTAGAATTCTGTGCCAAAGGTATGAAGATAAAAGTAGTAGTTGGACTAGTAACACTGGCAGCTAGTATGTAATGTGCTAAGCACTTAATAAATATCATCTTTAATCCTCAAAATCCTATGATGTAGACATTACTTTTTCTGAGCATTAAGTCAAAGACATTAGGAAACTTGCACAAGGACACATGTATAATATGCAGAGGAACAGAGATTTCAGGCCAGATGAGTTTGTCTCCAAAGTCCATGTTCTTAACTATTACAGTATTATCATTTCCTATATTAACAAAATTCGACACTTACCACCAAAGGTTTACAGATGCCAAGGCGTACAGTGCCTGGCGGCACAGCTTTCAACACTTCCACAGCTTCAGCAAGTGTGACGTTATCCAAACAGTACTGGTTGACTGAGACCAGACGGTCACCAGGTAACAGTTCTCCGCCTCTTTCTGCCACACCATTCGGCACCAGGGAGCGGATCACAATCACTGATCTGGTGGGATCTAAGGGGTCCTAAAGATCAAGCAAAAATAGAAAGATGACTCGGTCCTCTAAAAACAAATGTATAGCCTTAAGACATGTATGTGCACATGTATGTGCACACTTCAGGGATATTGTGAATTTGGCTCCAGACCACTATATTAAAGCAGCTATCACAATAATGCGAGTCACATGAGTATTTTCATTTCCCCAGTGCACATAAAAGTTAAGTTTACACTATACTACACTCTCTGTACAGAAAGTGCAGTAGCATTATGTTTTAAAAAAATGTTATACCTTAATTGAAAATATCACTAAAAAATGCTAACCATCATCTGATGACACAGGGTTATTAACAAACCTACAATTTTTAAAAAAATGAAATATCTATGAACTGCAATACAGCAGAGCTCAACAGAAAAGGGTATGTTGACTATCTACTTTATGTGTCCAGTATTCTGGTGGTATTCTTGCCGAGACAAAATCTATTCAAATATCACTCTATCAGTTCAGTTCAGTCGCTCAGTCATGTGCGACTCTTTGCAACCCCATGATTGCAGCACGCCAGGCCTCCCTGTCCATCACCAACTCCCGGAGTCTACCCAAACCCATATCCATTGAGTCAGTAATGCCATCCAACCATCTTATCCTCTGTCACCCCCTTCTCCTCCTGCCCCCAATCCCTCCCAGCATCAGGGTCTTTTCCAGTGAGTCAACTCTTCGCATGAGGTGGTCAAAGTATTGGAGTTTCAGCTTCAGCATCAGTCCTTCCAATGAACACCCAGGACTGATTTCCTTTAGGATGGACTGGTTGGATCTCCTTGCAGTCCAAGGGACTCTCAAGAGTCTTCTCCAACACCACAGTTCAAAAGCATCAATTCTTCGGCGCTCAGCTTTCTTCACTGTCCAACTCTCACATCCATACATGACTAATGGAAAAACCATAGCCTTGACTAGATGGACCTTTGTTGGCAAAGTAATGTCTCTACTTTTAAATATGCTATCTAGGTTGGTCATAAGTTTCCTTCCAAGGAGTAAGCGTCTTTTAATTTCATGGCTACAATCACCATCTGCAGTGATTTTGGAGCCCAAAAAAATAAAATTTGTCACTGTTTCCACTGTTTCCCCATCTATTTCCCATGAAGTGATGGGACCAGATGTCATGATCTTAGTTTTCTGAATGTTGAGCTTTAAGCCAACTTTTTCACGCTCCTCTTTCACTTTCATCAAGAAGCTTTTTAGTTCCTCTTCACTTTCTGCCATAAGGGTGGTGTCATCTGCATGTATGAGGTTATTGATATTTCTTCCGGCAATCTTGATTCCAGCTTGTGCTTCCTCCAGTCCAGCATTTCTCATGATGTACTCTGCATATAAGTTAAATATGCAGGGTGACAATATACAGCCTTGACTCTATACAGCTGCAAAAATAGCAGCTTGTATCAAAATAAAGATATAAACCTAACAATTTTAGTTGTATGTATGAGTTAGTGCACAATACATATAAATTTCTTTTTTAAAATTGTGGTAATTAATATTTTGTTGGATCACAAGAGGTCTAGGGAAGAGACTCAGGTTCAATCCCTGGGTTGGGAAGATTCCCTGGAGTAGGAACTGGCAACCCGCTTCAGTATTCTTGCCTGTAAAATTCCATGGACAGAGGAACCCGGTGGGCTATATTCCATGGGGTGGTAAAGAGTCGGACATGACTGAGTGGCTAAGGACACAGCACAAAAGGTGTAGGGAGAGTTGGGAAAGACTCTGACATCCCGAAGCACAGTCATACTATGGACCTAAAACAAGCCATTCTATTATCATTCTTGGGCAATAGGTAAGTTCCAAGAGAAGTGTATTATGGGAAATGATACTCCATTCTTCAGCACTCAACCAGTATAAAATCTTCTCACTAAATCATTTAAATTCCAAAAAGAAATGAAAACCATGGCATGTACCACTGCATTTCAAAAGTATGTTTAAAAATAATATAACCTAAAATTATGACATGGTACAGATACTCCTAGGCAAAAACTATTCTAATATAGAGAAAATGAATATCAATTCATAAATAAAACCAATGTTTTATTGGGAGGGCCCTCATCCATTGGGAAGGCCCCCTCTTTCTTTTCATTAAGCACAGAAAATAACACTAAAACTCTATAAATAAATTTGGCTGATGAACCAGTTTATAGCCACACTATCATTTTTTATTTCATTCAATACTGGTACACAGTACTTACTATGTGTCAGGCTGTGTTCTCAGTGCTTGACAATCATTGATTCAATTATTCCTTACAACAAACCCATCACTTGCTTGGCTGGTGTACTTTGCTCCTACTGTTTCATTACACACATACTGCTCCATATAGGCAAGATGCAGAAACATGAGATTCTACTACTGCTAGTTTCTATTAAACCCCTCCTGAGAGAGTAACAGGTACCACCTTTTGTGTTAGAATTGCAAGACTTTGAAATTACAAAAATGAGAATTTGCCATGTTCCAGGCTATGTCTGTTTGAAGTGGCTGATGGTTCTTTTGAAGTTTTCTGTTGCAGTTTTCTATACCGTTCTATTGTAGACATTGAGGCTTATTTTCAATACTGCATGGAATCTTAACCAAATATACCATATTTAAATCAAAAAAGGCTACAGAGCTAATCCCTTGAAAAATGCCTTCAAACAATTTATTTTACTTTCCTTAACTAAGCCTTGCACTTCCACTACCGAGTCAAGAGATTCTTGGTAAATTTCTAACATACTCTGTTGTATAACGCCACATACTTATCAAGAGGATTGGAAGTAAAAATAGTCATGGGAACTCACTAATAAAGTACAGTGTTAAACTATAATTACACCAATATTTTCAAGTAGAGGGAGCTATTGCATAAGAAGAAAACAGAAAGGAACAACAAAAAAAAAGTACAGTGGTATATCAGCGGCAATCAGTGCAGTAATGTAAAAGAGCTGTCTGTTTTGTCACCGAAAACCATGAATCACAACACACTTTTTCACTCTGAAATATGAAACCATTACATTTTAAGTTTGACACGCTAATAAATAAGCTGTACCATTATGTCCTTCATTTAGGATGTCAGTTTTTGATGGAAGGCTTTTTTATTGGGGGGGAAGGGAAACTATATAGTAGCTTATTCCCCTCATGAAATGCACAGAAAGCAGCTAGCATTACTTCTTATTAATAATTACTAAACATTCTCAGAGAAAACTGCAACAGTAAAATATACCAAAAGCAAATAAATGATTTCACTGGGTAGTGTAAGCCATCTCTGTAGTTTCATATAACACCTAATCAAAAAGTACTATTTTTAAGCCAAATAAATAGGTGAACTGGTTTTCAAGATGCAATCCAGTTGAAATGACAATTAGAAACATTTCAAAGGAAGATTAACCAGGAAATAATGGAAATAGAAAATAGATTAATAGATTTCCTTTACAGAAAAATCATGGTGAGCACTTATTTCTACAAAATGCAACCGTCTTTCAACCACAAAGTAGTACCAGGTGTGCTTGCTTACTAAAATTCAGGCTTGGCCTTCCCAGTTATTTTGAACACTAAATCTAATCTACTACTCCTTTTCCTGGAGGAGAGAACCCAACGGCAGCTTCCTTATCACTTATAAAAAGACAAACCACCCACTTCTGGTGATACCCCATTATGGATAATCACCACTTTATTTTCTGTGATGAGTTCTCTGACCAGGTGATTTCTCAAGTTGCTGAATGGAGTTACTTTAATGAGTAACAGTTATTTCCTTTCATGGTCATCACATGTAGCGAATGGCCACCCTATGGAAAAACAGCAGCTGTCACTGCCTACCAGGGCGGCTACTATTCTTAAGGCTTTGCCACATACAATATGCTTAAAAACCAAGTTGCTTCTCATCAGAAAAGTCTGTCTTCTGAAAATACAGACTGTAATATCATACCCATGTTAAATACAACAAAATGTTATAAAGACATTTCTCAAGACCTCTACCCAACTCCTAGACTCTATCCAGATTTTTTCAGGTCCCATCAGATTTTATCACCTTTTATCATAATCTTAAAATCTCTGATTTTTCTTATTTTGGTAAATAACACTGCAAGGAACATCGTCTTCAATAATCAAGGTGTTGCTTTAAACTAAACAGCCAATAGGGGGCACTAAATACCAACCACAGAAGACAAGATACATCATCTACTAAGCAAGCCATCTCCTCCTCTGATGTTTTTTTCCTATTTATTCAAAACCCTTATATTCTTACATATGTTCTAACAGTATCCCATATGTTTGCTCTAACTCAACCATTTATGAAAGTCATTCCCTACAAATCCATTAGGCACACCAGCTTTCATCAGGATGTTGCATGGAAAGACAGGAGCGCTAACCCGACTTCTCACTACTGAGCCATGAAATCCACAGAGAACCCATCTAACTGCTCTGTCTCAAAGGCGAATAAAAGTGCCTGAAGAAAATGCGTATGAGGATTTCTGAGGTCTCTTGAAGTGATTCTAATGTTTGATAGTTATTATAAACACAGGACGTCTCAACGTGGGAGGAAATCCAAGGTGACAAATCCACAGCTCTTCTCCCATAGTCCCTGGGAGGCACCGCCACACGCCCAAGCATTCGCTTGCTCTCCCTCGCCCCTTCACTGAGTTGCTACCTGCTGCTGCTGCTGCTGCTGCGTAGTCGCTTTAGTCGTGTCCGGCTCTGTGCGACCCCATAGACGGCAGCCCACCAGGCTCCCCTGTCCCTGGGATTCTCCAGGCAAGAACACTGGAGTGGGCTGCCATTTCCTTCTCCAATGCATGAGAGTGAAAAGTGAAAGTGAAGTCGCTCAGTCACGTCTGACCCCTAGCGACCCCATGGACTGCAGCCCACCAGGCTCCTCCATCCATGGGATTTTCCAGGCAAGAGTGCTGGAGTGGGGTGCCATTGCCTTCTCCGAGTTGCTACCTAAGGCATATTAATTTGATCTTCTGTCTCTTCTATCCAGTCCTCTTCATTTCTGCTTCTCGTTATTTCTTGCCTATGCAAC